TGCCGCCGCTGCCGCCGCGGCTGCGGCTGCGGCCTCCCGGCCACCCACCTTTAAGCAGGTTCCCCCCAGCTTCCTTTGTCCCCTGACTCGACAGCTGATGAACGATCCGGTTGTCGCCGCTGACGGTGGGAGCCGGGGGGGGGTAGGAGGGGGGTAGGGAAGGGAAGGCGAGGAGGGATGTCTAGGCACCGGGTCCCCCCGTGAGGTCCCGACTACGACTGCGTGGCTCGCTCTCTTCTCTCTCTCTCTCTCTCTCTCTCTCTCTCTTACCTTGGGCGCCTGCGTACGTGTGTGGCAAATTGTGGGAAATGTAGGGGGGGGGGGTTCGGTGGGGGCTCCCGCCCTTGGAGGGGGCCTGGTATCGGCGAAAATGGGCGCCACATAGTATATGAGTGAGTGGCTTGCTTTTCTGTCGGCGAAATGCTGGGCTGTTTTTGTCGCCGTCAAAATCGTTAAATCCTTTCATCTGAAAAGTTGTGCACCACGCACACCTCTCAATAAATGGAACACCAGAACCTGCAATTCTTTCGCGCCCTGTCTGTCCATAATCCAATATTTTATCTCCTCTATCAAGCAATACTATTATGTACTAGTATACTAGTATGTAGTAGTAGTTGTTTTTTTGCAAAGTGAAAATTCTCACTTTTATTTTACGGCATCTCTTCATTTACCCACCGCTTGCACCGTCTTGCCCCGCAGGTATTACCTACAACCGCCCCGCCATTGCGGATTGGTTGCGCCAACACGATGCTTCCCCGGTCACCAGGCAGCCTTTGGCCAACAAGATGATCACTCCCAACGTGGCGCTGAGAAAGGCCATTCTCACAGAGCTCGGATTCGCGCCTGGACCCGCGTAGACGCGACATATGGGCAAATCAAGGGCAATCAAAAGGTCGCCTGCTTAGGGTGAAACTCCGCCGCCTCAGGAACAAACTTCGAGGCGGCGGAGCGTGTTGCTGTGGGCTTTTGCCGGCGACCTCTTACTACACACCGCACACCACCGTCTCAACGCCCGACACACTGCAGGAGGGTGGAGAGCAGTGCGGCGCCATCCGGAGAGGAGGGCAGGGCAGGGCACCTGGAGGGCACCATGAGGATGATTTTTACTTAAGAGGGACGCCGTATGAATGCCTTAAAGTGCCGTACAATTTTTTCCTCTTAAGTGGCGGTAGCTATTAAGCCTGGACGATAAAGCTGGACGGTGTTTTTTTTAAGAGATATATATTTTGCGGGTAGGACTGTTTTTGGAGCGCTCTGTTTCCCGTGTATGATGCCCCGCTGCTGGAAGGGGCCATCATCATCATCATAACCATCACCATCACCATCACCATCACCATCATTTGTCTGATGTTGCGGTGTTGCGGTGTTGAAAAGGAGGTGTGTTGTTGCAGCCCGTACGCCACGCGGTGTGGTTGTAGGGTCCAGAAGGGAGTCGCGTCGTCTCAGTAGGACTGGTACAGTTTGATGCGATGTAGTGCAGATGTACGATGCAAAATATGGTATTATATGATGCGGTGAGGTGGTTGTGGTGTGATGTGAGTGTGATGTGAGTGTGATGTGAAGTGAGGTTTCCCGCCGGATTGCTATCTCATTGTCATCTTGCCTTTGGAGACCAGGGCGAGGAGGGAGGGGACTTGCTGGCGGGGTTTACGAAGCGCAACTGCGGAGTTGTTGTCGTGTTGTGTTCAAATGTTTTCCAACACGGTTGCCTCGCCATAGTTGGTTGTTTGCATGGCTGCTGTGTGTGCGATTTGTTTTGCGCTCTTTCTGTTGCTGCTGATGGCTGCTGTGTTGCATGCAGCTGGCTGGCGATTTTCTCGCTGCTCTGTTCTGTTCTGTTCCGCTGTCTCTCGCTCTCTCTGTCGCTCCCTCTGTGCGGCCTCTCTGTGCGCCATTAAGGACTTGCAACACACACGTCTATGCGGCATTTGGGGCCGGGTGTCAAGTGCTGGTGTGTCGGAATGTGTGTGCGTGTGTGATTGTGTGCCCTTTTCCGTTCCTTCATCACTCTCCCCTTGCTTCCCATTAGTAAAACGGGTGAGGGGGCCGAGGCACCCCTCGAAGAGGAGGGGAAGGGGAAGAAAGGGGCCGGGGCATCCTATCATCGTACCAAAGGCAGGTGGCCGATCAACAAAGACGGTTAATTAAATGCAGGGATGGATGCAAAGGAGCAATCCACGGATAGTACGTAGGAATGGATGTTGGGGCCCGGATGGGATGGGATGGGACCGGACGGAATGGCGAGAGGAACGGAGAAGTGCGGGACAGAGAGTTATTGCAAGGGGGTTGGGGCCAGTGGACGAGAAGGCGCAGTGGCTGTGGGGAAGGGAAAAAGGCCTGCAACCGAGACGACGCTGCTGGTAATGGCTCGGTCCCATCGCGGGGGTTCACAACGGGTACGTGCCATGATCATCATCATTATCACCATCATGCGTGCCGCAGGCCACATAAGAGATGAGAGGATCATGATGATATAATGATGGAACGTCCGTTCACTGCCACCGCCACCATAGTCCAGAGCCGCAGCCATGCCAATGCGGAGCAGCGGAGGACCTTTCTCATCGTAATGGCCTGCCGTACAGGCGCGTCTGTGGTTGCTATACGAACTGCTGCTGCTGCTGCTTAAGAACAGCTCCAAGCTGTCCAGGAGACAGGGTTTTGCAAATACTCCGGGAGAGAATCTGATTTCGCCGGGGCAACCTGGCCGTGTGGATTGGGCTGTGTGGCGTGTTTGATTGTGAGAAAGGCAAACCCTACGACGTGTGTGTTAGTACGTATGTGCTGGGCCTTGTCGGCAAGTTCTCATGGGCACCCTCCGCCTCCCTTAAAACGAGTGGTGGTTGCATGTATGGAGGTAAGGACGAAGGTAAGGATGGAGAAGGACCGTACTGGGCAGGCAGGCAGGCAGGCAGATTGGCGCGGGCTGCAGAATGTTCGGATGTTTGGGTTGCAAGCCTCTGGCCGAGGAAGGGAAGTATGCCAACCGGTGGGTCAGGCAGGCAGTCGATGCCAACACCCGCCTTCAGGTCTGTAAGCGTGTGACGTAGCAACATGCTCGGAAGTGCATTTTCCAAGATTGACGCGAGGGAGTGGCTGCGGGGGGACGGCATTTTCCGTCTGCCGTTCGGAGTTTCGTGGGCTCCCGCGTGGTCAGATGCAAGCACAAGAAGGCGAGGTGTGGGAAGCGCAAACGTATATGTGTTGCGTTTATATTTTGTGTGTGCAAGGTGTTAACTCTGTTTTCCTGCGAAAAACGCCTGGGCGGTTTAGGTTGGATAGTTACGTTATGTACGCCTGGGCCCTTGCGGTTTTGGTGGTCTTCGTATAAACCTTCTCAATAATGTCGTAAGACCTCTCCTCTGTTCCCTCCTCACGCAACGGCCCCCGGCAAGGGCAGAGAGGAAGGAACAGTGGCCAATGCATGAACAATGCGCACTGTGGCTTCGTTCCTGGAACCTGGCTTTTGGTCCCGGGCGATGTGGATAACGGTTCCTTTCTCGTCGCGCCGGGGGAAGGGCGCAGAGGACGCCGTGGCGGCAGCGAGGAGAAAGCCAGCCCGCCGCAGGGAGGCATTGGCCTTTGGGATTTTTCATTGCAGGGGCCTCTGCCCCAGCAGCAGCCCCTTTGCCCAACCGCTATCAACTGTTGTGAGCAGAAACTCGTTGCCATTTTTCGGTTCTTTCGCGGCAGGTCGTAGTGTTGTGTTTTTTTAAAGGGCAGAGGCGCCCCTACTTGGGGAAAGCGGGGGCTGGGAAACGCTGCCTCGTAGTCAGCGGGTAGAACTTGGTGAGGGGAGGTGGTCGCGCTCGGAGCGGGCGATGAAGGCACGGCGTGAGTAAACGGACATCTGGTTTGCGGGGTGCGGTGTGGCGATGGAGATATATTTGTCGGTAGTAGGGTAAAATATTGTGTCCGGAAACCCTTTTAGCCTCGGGGCGGAGGTGTAGTGGCGGGACTTTTTTTTAAGAGAGGGAGTTTTTGAGAACTATTTTGTACGGATGTCTTTCCATGTCCCTGTTACTCGCCACCGCCGCCGCCGCCACCGCCGCCGCCGTCGAGCAGTCGAATGGCCGAGTACCTGTGGATTCCGGACTTTCCCTCCCTCGCCTCATAATGGCCTCTCGTAATGGGATGCACTTTGCACTCCATGGTTGAGGGAGAGTTTAACGCGCGACGTGCTCGCCGTACCCCCGGTGGTGTCATTCCCCCCCCCCGGGGTTTGAAGCGCCGGTCCCAAACCGTGTGTACACTGTTCGGGAAGCCCCTGGTCGCCGAAGCTTACGGGGCGTCCAAAAGAGGATCGCCTTTCAGCCATCTCGAAGAGCACGCCTCTACCCCCAATAAAGTCTTTTTCTCCGAACAAACCACAACAGCACACAAATCCTTTAGCTTTGGACTTCTCGGTTTCGGGCTTTCATGCATTCGAGGGGTAATTTTGCGAAGCCGGCGGCTTTCGGCCGATGCGATGGATGTGGGATAATAAAAATAGCTGTTTACTGTGGTTACCGCCGTGTGCACCTAGGAGATGTCTTAATGAAATAGTATTTTTATAAATTTGTGAAGCATCTGTGCAGCCGTATTTAAAAATACGTCCTGTATGTGTAATTGTGTATATGTGCGTGTATGTGTGTGTACCTGAGCAATAGTTTAGTTCTGCCAGGGCGACGGGGTTGCGCTGCACTTCTTACTGCATGGATCTTCCTGCGGATGATGAGATGCGTAACGATTGGTTAGAGACGCCTATGCTGTCCGATGAATAAAACGGCCGCCTGTAGCCCCGGGATGCACACTTTGCACTTGGCACTCGACTATTGCGTGCTTAAAAACGCCACCGGGTTTTGGAGATATACTGCACTGCCAGTCATCACAGCCACACGTTCTTCCGCGTGCGTTTTCCCCAACTTTCATCTCCTCATGCCGACAGGGTACCATGTATCAACTTCTTCTAGGTCTAAGCCGGTTGCGCCATACGACAATTCGTACGACAGGGCACATTCGTACATGCATTATCTGCATCTCTTACCTCATGTAGTAAGGACAGACCAAGTATTCAAGCCCAGACAAATGTAAACCTATCGCAGCCATAATATGCACTTGTCCAGCGCATTGCAGGATATCCAGGATATCCCTCCACGATTTAGAAAACCGGAACCTTCACACTTGTCATGCACCCAGCTCCCCGTTGAATCCATTTTCCAGCTCCTGTCACTCTTTGCGCATCCTTACGATTACTTTGACATATACTTATGCAATAATGAGGTCGTCGTACATAGAGGTCGTCGTACATACATTACAAGGATTCACCGTATGCCCCCGTGCGCTTCCGTCCCACCGTATGTTTCATCTGGCCGTGCACGGCAGTCGTGTACGACACTAAATACCCTAAACTGCACATCCTGCTGCTCGTCATAACACAGTCAAGGTCTCTCCTCTCTCGCCCTTTCCAAGCGCAAAAATTAACACCGGTTCTGTCCTGGTTCCTGTGCACATCACGCGCACATTTCCTCCGGGTCCTAATACTCTAGCTTCACATCTTGAACATATTCCCGTTCGTGCCGTGGTACAGACCTTGCCACGGTACCTTTTCGAGCCGTTCCTGCTGCCTGCCCATTTAAAGGGCATTGGGTGCGGGCTGCTGAACCATCACTAGTTAAACTTCCCAGTCGCGATCCCCCGTCTGCAATCCCAGTATCCAATCACCTCACCCAAGCAGCCAGAGTGTGCCATGAAGCACATAAAAGATTCACGACATCAATAAAAAAAATTTCCCCCTAAACTTTAAAACAAGGCGCCAAAAGCGGTTCGAGGCCGCAAAAAAATAATCAGAACTTTCCTGCACCTCACTCCTGCGTCGCATGTAGGCTGCTACCCGGACACTATAACGGCTACAACGGTTAGGGTTGTAACCGCGTTGTTACCTCCTGCCGCCTCATACCTCCGCCGATGCCACAACGCCACAGCTGCCGTACACGCTCCGTACAGTGCATTTCTCTGCCCATTACAAGTTATATATGAGCTCTCACGATCGTGACCCACATCGCGTATCAACCCAAATCTGCTCTTTCTCATCGCATCCGCCAAGCCGCACAGGTGACGCATCCCCCCCTTAAAAAAGCCCGCTGCTCTTCAAAAGCGCCCCAAACCAAAAACCCTACCTCGCCACCCATCGCGGGGCACGTGACTGGCACAGCAATGCTTGATTAGCACAGCAATCCTTGATTAGCAGACTTCAACATATGGAACAATTGTCTTTCGATGAGCCTCCCCGGGTATCAGCACCGCTGCCTCGCCCTCCTCCTGCTCCTCCTCCTCCTCCTCCTCCCCCTCCACGGGATCCGGACCCTCTCCCCGGTCCCCCACACCGTTCTGAATGTTGCACCAGTAACACAGGATCATGAAACGTCCGCGAGCAAAAGTAGCAACGATACGCCTCCCCTGAACCCCCAGGCCCAGCGATGGCGGGGCCGGAGTACGGCAGCCCTGGCCCTGGCGCCGCGGGGGGCGCTTCGCCGCCAGCAATAGTCGTCGTACCTCCCAACAGACCTCTCAGCGGGTTGGAGAAAACTGGTCCGTGAATCGCTTCTCCCGTCACGGCTGCAGCCGATCGCTCCGGAACCGCCGCCGCGGTTGGGTGGAAATCCTCAACGTGTTGTATGAGCCGCTCTACTGTGGCGAAGCTCGCGCCGCATTGCGGACATAGCTCCGGAAGGTGAGGTGGAATTAACGGGTTGGCGTTACTGCTGTTAATACCGTTGTCGTTGAGATTCCTGTTACGTGAGGTTGTTGTCGTTTTGGTGGTAGTAGTGGCGCTAGTGGTTGTGCTGCTCGGCGCCGCCGCCGCTGGGGCAGCGGTGGCGGTAGCGGCAGATGGCGGCGCCGTGGCCGCTGGCTGCCGTGACGGCTGCTGCTGCTGCTGCTGCTGCCATGGCCATTGGAAAAAGGATGAATGTTGTTCTTGCTGTTGCGCTGCTTCCAGAGCCAACTGCTGGCGGCGCGCAGCGGTCCCTCGTACGGAATTTGACGGATCCTCGTACTGCCGTACCGCTGCTGCGTGGCGCTGTCGAACGTCCTGCGGGCGTCCTGAGGGAGCCGCCACTGCCGCCGCCGCCGCTGACGATGATGACGACGTGGCGGGACCCAGAATCGAACCGTTGGCGGCGCTGGGGCCGGTCGACGGCCGGGAGGATGTGCGGCCGCTGGTGTGGTTGTTGCTGCTTGGCGCGTACGTCGATACACGTTGCTGTCGGAGGGCCGCTGTGAAAAGTTTTCCATGTTTTGGCAGCATGCAAGCAGGACACATAGGATATTGGTTTTCATTGATATGTTCGAGCCTGTTTTAGCGCAAATAGAAGGGCTAAGAAGGAAAGCGCCATCACGTGCGACGCACCGCCTTCCGAAGAGCAGTGGTGGAGATCTCCTTCATCACACGCAATCGACCCCTCCTGCCAAACGTTATCCTTTCCATGGACTACTTTGCGCCGTTGCCAGATTCATTACACGAAAGCACGTTGCCAAGTGCTATCCTTCGATGTCCCGGCTGATCCCCCGGTGAAAGCCCGCCACAATAACGGTTTCCCATAAAAGTACAGCTCAAGCAGTCGCGAGAACGTTTCATAGACGTGCATGCCGACAGAATGCCCAACCCACCTTGTGCCTCAATACATTTGTGGTCCCCCGGGTCGCGATGCCGCAAGCAAACGCGCTGGCTGCAGTGTTTGCATCTGTATGCGTTAATTGTCGTTAGCTTTTCCTTGCATCCGCTCACAGGACAGCGTGGTTTCTTATGCACCCTATCGTAGTTAGCTGGGTCACAATCCGTCCGCTGATGGACATCAAAAGCCTCGCTGGGATCTTGGCCAGGCTTTAGCCGCATGCCCTTTGCGCATATTGGGCATACGATGACTGTTGTCTCCTTGGCACCAGCATTTGGACATGAATGTGCAACGTAGGAGCGGTGTTCTAAGCAAAATGTCCGATTGCAGCAATCACATTTAAAAGGAAGGAAATCTATCTGCCCACAATCCTCAACGGAGCAATGGTCGCCTATCTCTAACACCTGTCCAAGCTCTTCCTCCTGTTTATTCATGATAACCGATGCGTGTACAATGATGCTTAGGTACGAAATAATAGCATAATCGTTTGAGGTTCTGAGGATTAATAAAAAGGTGTGGCTAGGCTCTGGGCGAACCCCCACGTAACGACGTGCAGTGCGCTTTACCTCATGCCACCTTCTTGTAACCCAGATTATGGTAAGAATTACAAGGCACAGCCTGTAACGATACCCGGAACCTATGCATAATCACCTGTTAAAGCGTCAAACTCAATCTGAGTCATACTTTTTTCCACAAGAAGAACCAGCCTTCTACCTGATGACAAACCCCGTCGTCCATCAACCCCCATCAACCCCCATCACACAGCAGTTAACATCTCTTTCTTGTTCCGTTTTTTGCAGATGTGGACGTGCATCTTCGCGGATACCCGAAGCTCAATTCCCCCTGATATCCTCAAAGGCAGCGGGAACTTTCCGAAGTTCAGGGCTTCTAATTCCAAAGCACCGACGCCAGGGTGAACTCTAAATTCCAGCGGAATTTCCTTAAAATTCTGCTGATTTCCACCATAACGTTTTGGGTCCAATCCCAAATCAAATTCTCCTTCGCACCACTTTTACGCTGTGCTTTTCACCGTCGGCCCTACAGCTGTTGCGCTGCTGTCCGCAGTTTGTCCACGACCCTTGCCGGGACCCACTGGCCCATCGGAAAGAAAATGACGTTTATGGATCTCAAAATAAGATGACATGTATTGACGCGGCCAACAGCGCATGAGCTACCGACGGAAAGCACGCTCGCTGCAGATCAGGGGGTGAACTTCTCTCCTTTAGTAGGGTTTTTTGAGTTCCTCGAAAGGACCCACCATCGCGTATATAAACTATAATCCTAGACGTCTTTAAACGAAGCAACGCGCTCTCCCCTCCTGCCCAGCCCTGCGGCCGACTCCCTCCTCCCCAACAAATCGAGTCGTCTCCGGCCAATACTATCGTCCTGCATCCGCCCCGCGATACTATAAGGGACGGACAGCAGCCTGCGACCATCACCACCGCCTCACCATAAGCTGAAAAGAACTAACGCCACATCACACCATGATGCGTATGTTTCCCCGGAGATCCCCCCGAAATCCTGTACACCCCCCCTAGCACTTCAATTTCAAGCTTGTGCGTGCATCAATTCTCCAAACCTCACTCCCACTCAAAACCAATCCAACCACAACTATCATCGTCAGGCTATATACCTTGTTAATCATAACCAACTCATTCCAAAAGCCGCAACAAACATCCGCCTCGCGGGTCTGCTCTCTAAATGTACCACATCACAGATGGACCACACCGCACATACACACCACACCAGGACATCCTCCTCGTCCCAACTTTGCAAATCTTCCCACGCCTTCACCTCACGTCTCCGATTCTGTCCTCGATTCTGTCCTCGAGGTCCTTGAAGCAGTCCGCAGAACAGTCTTGAAAAACCAAACAGGAAACCCTAGGAACAGCACTGAACTCGAACCGACCACAACTCTTCTGCCGGGGCCCTCCCAACACCATCAATCCCCCCCCCTACCGCACCGCACCGCACCAAGGGACGCGTCTACAATAGCTGCTCGTCGTAAGGTACACACAGTCGACACTGCTTTACTGCCACAGCGATCGTACACCTCAATCTGCCCTCTTCCTGCTTTTGCCTGCATCAATGATCCCCGGCTTCGGTATCCGGAATCCCAGTTCCAAAACCCCCAAACTTCCCCCGTATATGTACATACATACATACATACATACATACATACATACATACATACATACATACATACATACATACACACATATAGGACTCTCAAGCCCTACGACCGCCTCTCAGGAGTGACCCCGCACAAGCTCCGCCTGCTGCAACCGCTTCAGCGCTACGAGGTACCCTGCCGTACGCAACGACAGAGAGGTGCCGTACTGCTCCTGCTCCCGTAGCAAAGCGTTGTACGCGTCGGTCAGGTACCTGTCCAGCTCCCGCTTCACCTCATCCTCCTCCCACTGCGACATGGGGACGTTCCAAGGCGGCGGCGAAGTCACAACAGGTAATCGATCAGAATACGAGATGAAAAGCTATATCCAGAATAGCCGATTATGAAAAGGAAAAGATGGCCCTCAAAACGAATCGCACATGAGACAGACCCATAAAGACTCACGACGGCTCAAAGGCGGTCAGGATGGAAGCCCACATGGGACCGACCCGCGGGTCACTATCCCTCGCGTCCACCTAATACCGCGTCGAGGGATGTCGGTGTGCCTGTATGAATGTATGCCGGCCAATCGGTCGACCATTCTACAGGTATTACAACTCCACGCTGGTCTTCGCTTTGGCCTGTGGAGAGCCCCCTGTGCCACTTATTAGAGTCCCGGCCCCCGCCCCCCCTTTTCCCCTTTTTTTCCCCAACCCCGGCACACACCTGCAGGTTCTGGTTGTTTTGCACCCACTCAAAGAACGACACGATCACCGCGCCGCCGTTGGCGTAGATGTCAGGCAGCACCGGAATGCCGTGTTCGCGTAGGACCGCATCGGCGTCGGGAGTCAGGGCCGAGTTGGCCGCCTCCACGACAGCCTGGCGCGGGTGGCGCGGTGGGGGCCCGGGCGCAGAAATGTCCGCGCGGGCTGAGATTCGTTTTGTGGAAGAGAAGCCAAGGAAACAAAGCACAGGCGCGGTGCAGGGCTGGGAGGAGCGGCAAAAAGGATCCAATAAATGGCTCTCTTGCGCACCTTAAAATGCAGGCAGCGCGCCACGTTGTCTTTGTGGATGGTTCCGTCCACAGCGCAAGGGATGAGCACATCCGCTGGAAGGTCCAAAAAGTTGTCATCGTTAGGCACACCTGCGCGTGACGAAATAACATGAAGACTGGCGACTGTTTACAGAAACATCCTTAACCAAGGATTCTTGTCCGTTAATAAAAGTAAAAAATGCAAGTGCGCTAGGTATGGAAAGGTTATTTCCAAACGGCGGGCAAAACATACAATCTAATCCTGGTTCAGTTGGAATTGTACCCACCCGTCCCGCCCGCAAAGTCCTTGAGCAGCCCGCCCTGCACGACGTGCGCCCGCAGCGCCGCGATGTCTAGTCCGTTCTCGTTGTATACAGCGGTTTCGGAGCAGCTCACTCCCACAATCTGATGCAGAGAGCGACATATTTGTACAGGGATAGCGAATCATCGCATGCATTTGAAACGGCCATACACGCGTAACAAAAACAGGATCTAAGGACTCCTTCACGCAACAACACACACACACAACGAAAGCGAAATTGATGTTCCTTTTTTTAATGCAAAACTAAAAATAACGCCGTAAGCAATCAGCTCGGAAAGCAATCACATAAAAAGGCGACTAATCATTACCTGAAACGAACATTCATACACCATTCTAGGGTTTGGCACTACTGGTAAGGCGCGACCATTGCCCCCGGGAGATCCCGGGATCTGGTGGAAGGCATTGCGCCCCTAGTTGATGGACGGTGGTGACCTGGGATAAAGTTGACCCGCGAGCCGACCAGGAATGGAGTTGGGCCGCTGTCGACCCGGCAGATTCCGTTGGATGCTGGTGGTGGGTGCGGAACCTGAGCGATCCACTGAGAAGTTGACTAGGGTGACTGGATGAGGGTGCCCCGAAATACCGGTGAAGGCAGGGTTTCGCAGGGTAGCTGCCACGGGCGAAGATACACCCCCTTGTTTCACACATAATACACCACGGTACGACAACTATCCAATACCTACCTTGGCACCCAGTTCTTGTTGGAGGATCTGTGCCGTCCAGCTGCCCAACTTGCCGAAGCCCTGCTTGAACAGGGCATTAGTAATAACGGCTTATGTGGTTACGACGTTGGTTGTGACGGTGGTTGTGATGGTGGTTGCGATGGTGGTTGAGATGGTGGTTGTGATGGTGCTAATGTGACAATGCAACGGAAAAGCCCACTGCACACCAAACGTGGGTTTCGGAGGTGAAGTGGCGCCCGGACAACGGTTGTCTGTTATTTGGTGAGAACAGAACCAGCCTCCAGTTCAGAGGTCGCATAAAAGTCGGCGCCGCACAGCCGCCCCGCCAGAACCAGACAGCATCAGGAACACACCGATTTACAACAAAACACGGACGATTCCGCCCCCCAAGCCCCCAACACCGCTCCAACCCCGCTCCACTCCGCCACTTTGAATAGTCCTTATGTTAGCACGACGCATCTTCCCCTCCGACTTGGGGTCCCCGCCGTCTCGTCTCAGCCAGCCTGGGTTTTCTGAGCTTGGCACGGGTTTCCTCCGTCATTAACACAGCCCTCTCCCCTTCTCCCCTTTTTTGAACCCTTCAAGTGGCGCCTCCTCTCTCTCTAATTTTCCAGTCGACCCCTCTTTACTTATTCCCCCCATTCTTTCCCCTCCCTGATCCACCTGGATCAGAAAGCTGCTTCCCGCAACCTTGCGTCGGAGGGTTCGTGTCATGAACTCGCGAGTGCTGTACGCCGCCCCCCGGCCCCCCGCACTGTCACGTCCCACGATGCCATGCAGCCATGTGGGTTTGCCTGAACAGAGGACATGCGTACGAATACGTACGACAAAGTGGTAAAGAGAGGAGAAAAAGGACAAATTTCAAACCTGAAAACCGGACAGACATACTTGCATACTTCAAACGAATGGGGAAGCGAGCGTCTACTCCCCCCTCCCCCGAAGCCATGTAATTCAGTCGTCCACCCAGTCAGTCAACCAGTTGGTCTGTCAGTTTGTCAGTTTGTCACGTGCCTAAAACCCTAAAACCCCCATTTCCCCGCCCACACTCACCTGTCACGGCCGCCGGCGTAAAACCTCGGAGTTTCGAGTACTGGTCAAATATCCAGGCCATGTGCCGTTCGTCTGTGTTGATGTCCGGAGCTGGAATGTCCGTACGAGGACCAATCACCTCCTGAAGGGCCTGAGGGGAAAGCGGGGTTGGGTTTGCGGTCGGGGGGGTTTGGAGTATGGGGTTGGGGGTGGGGAAGAGACGAACCATGAGCGAGTGAAGCTGCTGCCAAGGAAAAAGGAGGGGGGAGGGGAAATGGCTCGGGTGGGCAGATGTGTTTTGACACACGGCCATGTGTGTGTAAGTCGAAACAGGAACAAAAGGCCTACATTCTAAAGATCCAACCAGCGTGTGGGTGCATACGTGGGTGCGTGAATGGGCCTATTGTTCAACCTCCCTCTCTGTTTTAACCCCCTCTCCTTCCCTTTCCTCCCTCGCCTTCCCCTACCTCCCTCGCCTTCCCCTTCCTCCCTTTGCCTTCCCCTTCCCCTCCCCTCTCCTTCCCCATCCCCTCCTCCCACACCTACCTGCACGTATTTGCGTGTCAGTTTCTCCACCTCCCGGTCCGTCAGCGTCCTCGGGTCCACCGCCACTCCGCCCTTACTGCCCCCAAACTGGACGTTGAGCAAGGCGAACTTCCAGGTGTTGAGGGAGGCCAGGCTGTGGAGGGGAGGCAGGAGTTGTTGTTGTTGTTGTTAGCGGTTGAAAAAAAGCCCAGAACTACCTGCTAAAGAAGCGGGAAGGGCTCCCAATCACCTGCGCATGTTCTCCAAGTTGACTGCCGGGTGGAATATGATGCCGCCCTTGAACGGCCCCAGTACGTTATTGTGTTGTACACGATATGCGTCGTACATGTTGACCTCCCCGTTGTCCATGGGGACCACCAGGTTGACCTGGGGGGGGCCGTGTACGGAAAAACACAAACGTGCTGGCGCGACGACCAAAATGCCCGGGGAACCGCACTCTGTCTTGTGCCGTGTGCCCCCGGTCTCCTGCACTTGCCAGGGGCAGCTGGCGTGTCAGTGCTGCCCTGCCCTGCCTTGCCCTGCCCTGCCCTGCCCTGTCCTGTCCTGCAACAGTTTTAGGTCGATGAAACACAGGCCCCTCAATCCCCCTTCGCAACCCCAAGAATGGAACACCAAAGCTTGATGACAAATCCCAAGGGAGACCAACCGAAGGGGGGAACAATTCCTTGGGTTACTACCCCAAGAAGGGTCCGAATACCGGCGATACGCTTCGGGGGGGATGACGAAGGGGACGCGTTGATTTGGGCGTTTTGGCCTAGTATGTACGTTGTTAAAACTAATAAATTTAACTGAGATTTAGTACTAAATCCACTAGCCGTTCCCTGCCCTGCCCTGTCCTGCCCTATCCATCCCTGCCCTGCCCAGTCCTAACGGAAGCTCTACGAGTCCCGTCTGAGCGCCATCTACGCGCGGGCCCCAGCTAGCAATAGCACCTTGCCATCCGACATGGTATATGATAGATAAACAGGAATGGACTTCCAGGACTTCTACTCCGGGTCCATTTCGATGTGACAAGACCAAGTGGGAAATTTGGAAAACCGGTGTTAGTTGGATGACAGTTGGGATCCAACTTCCGACCCACCTTGACCTCTCGATCCGGATTCAGGATGGCCTTCTCCACTTGGGGGTCAAAGTCCAGGATATTGAAGGCCTAATGGGTGGGTCGGGAACGAGGGAAGAGGAAGGGGTGGGAGAGGGTTTTAAAAAGGGACGCACACAGCGTTTCGGGCTCACCGGCGTCATAGCAGATGGAAATCCGACGACAAACATTTGGCAGCAACCCAAATGGAACAAGAGGATACCGGCAATAGATGCACTGCGTGGTTTTGAGCCCTTTTGGGGGTCATTAACCCTGCTGCTAGAGGCGACATAACCCATAGCCTTTTTGGGTTTGTCCAGTGGACTCGACGGTTATCATTGGTTTGGCGGTGGCCTTTTTTACACTTAATTGTGCCGATTGCCGTTCAGGTTGTGTGCCTTTTCAACCTTGTGGGTGCTTTCAAATGGCGATCCAGGGCCCGTTTGAAACGCGGCCGGAGCGAGGGGGCAAGCCTGGCTTTGCCAGACGTGCCGTAACAATTACGTATAAATTGGGCGATGTCAAGACTGAACACCTGTGGTCGGATGTAACGCCAAAACTCCCATGGAGCAACATCCCCGCCACACAGCTTCACTCGCCTCCTTCACGTACACAGACGTTCGGCCATATGTTGGTGTAGTAGTTGTGCAGAAGTGCTGCAAGCTCGTCGACGCAGCAGCGCCCAGCGCCCGACAGCTTCTTGCAAGCCCTGCCATGCTAGCGACAGCCCTTTCCATCTCAAGATATGCTAAATCGCAGCCTCAAGTTTAAAAGCAATCCTAATGGGTGTGCGTAAAAGTATGCAAGTACATTAGGGTTCCGGCGTGAAGGATGACTATAGGAAACCGTTTTTAAGACGTACGGGACTGTCTGAAACTTAAGCCATGGCTGGACTTCGCAAATGTTTGCGAAAACATTAGAAGTCTTCCGGCAAAATTATGACTCTATGGCCACGTCAGACATCTCAGCTGGAAACTATTCGTACGGTCTAGCAACGACACTCCGTTTGGCCGATTCAACACGAACAACGCCACATATCGCAAAAACTACGTCACGTAACTCAAGCCAGCTCTAAATTCGGGAAATAAAATCAACTGCGGTGAACATAGCATGCCGGGATCACCGACTTTGCACGCCTTTCGGTAATGGCCCCTCCCTGGCTGACACAGACGATTTTTATGTCTTACACTGATTATATGTTATCTGCACGAAGATTGAGGGGCATGAAACGTCATCCTAGCTGGCTTTGCAATTGCGGATCGTAGGGTTTGCAGGGGTTTGGCTTTTCGTTAGTTGCTATGCACCAGCCAGCAGCACAACGAAGAGAAAGAGTGAGGCAGTTGACAGCAAGAGACGAAAGAATTCTCAGGGCTGCTTTAGTGTCTTTTGCACTTGCCATAAATTGAGAAGTGAGACCCGAGGGTCGAAGAACGTTGCCCTTAAGAAACAAGTGATCACCACCTCCAGCGTTACGTGGAGCCTGACATAACTCCAAGTCGACATTCTTGGTTTCGCACATTTTGTTAGTAGAGTGGGGAATTTCAACGGCACGCTTTTGAGGTTGGCTTGCCTGTCGTGGACATAGCTGAAGGACTGTCTGGGTTCGGAAAGGAATGTAAAGGATGATCCAAAAAATCATTCGTGAGCTGTTATGGACGTTGCTAAGATAGTCATTCGGCAGCCAAATGCTACATGCAGCCAAAATTTGCTACATGGCGGTTCTGCCGTACCTGCGCGGGAGTTTGGCCCCCAAGTTTGGGCCGCCGAGGGAGGAGGCAAGTAGCTAGATTGATCTGTCTGCATCCTCAACTCTTTCCCTATGTGATATCGGTATCTTTTATTAAGGTTTAGTACCTCTCTCTGATCCCCTTGTTCTTGCGCAATAATCCCGCACGCCTTACTTGCTTTGGAGCGAACTACCAGCAGTCAACCGCGAGGCCAGCCATCAACTAGCCACAGGCTTAGCGTGGTATCGCTTCCCTTGAGGGCAGCAAACGCATAGTGAAGGATTCCAAGAGCACCAGCAAGCGCGCGGCGTGGGAGCCAACCGTAAGTAACGGACGAAATTGATTCCGCGACCAAATTATGCCTCTTTTTTCCAAAACAACAAGGCATGCTCTCGTCAATAAGTAGGTATCCTCTATGTGAGCACGCAGATTTCGTACAATTTTATTACGGTTCGGACGTTAATTGTCGTGGGCTACCCCTTGCGCTCGAGGTAGCTAGCAGCCCCACCATACAGCACCCTAACCTTGCTACACATCGACTTGCATTCTGTCGCATAACGCCTCATTGCCCGGGGCGCGGGCTGGCCGCTTCTCCTGCCGTCTTTTTTGTTCTTCATGCCGTCCTCGCCTACGTGCCACACGCAACTCCAGGCCGCTGCGCCACTGCTGCCCATAAGTTACTGTGCATGGATTGGCTTCCACGCAGGGAGGTGGTTAAGGGATAGCAGCAGCAGTAGCAGCGTAATCCATCACCGGCAGCCGACTCGTTCTCTCGAACAGTAGCGGTAGGAAGCTGATTACCCCAGCAGCGAAAAGAATTCAGCAGCGCTTAAAAATCATTTAGCGCTTTCTTCGGCAGCAGGTGCAGCCGGAACTTTACAACGCGGCTCCATTTGTAACTAACGGCAGTCGCTGGTACGTAACATCGGAAAAGACCAGGGCGCCATGGCGGCTGCGGAAGCGGCGCTGGAGGTTCATGTGCAGGACGAGTAAGTAATTTTCGATTTTTGCTGCGTTAGTTCCTGCTGAGATTTCCTCGCGAACCCAACCCGGAAAAGCCGTTGAAAAAGCGCGTATATGTCGCAACCCAGATCGATTACTTGCGGTCAACGGCCTCGGTTGTGCCTTGGTCAACGCACCAAGTTGATTTGGGTTACTCGGCGCTGTTCCGTTGCTTGACTCAAATGACTCACCTGCAGATGTATATCTAGGTCCATGTATTGTTTTGTTGTTACCTTGGCTACTACTGCTGTTGCTGGTGGGTTTGCGGTCCCCGCAGTGCCGGCCCTGTTGATGACGACTTTGAGAGCATCGACAAGTTGCAGCAATTGGGCATCTCCGCGGGTGGGTACGTGATCTTGTGCTGTTTCTTTTATATCACGACTTCTGAAAAGTCGATCGGCGGATGAAGATCCCGTGATATGCCCACAGTTTCGCATGGCCAAATAGTCGCATGGCCGCATGGTCGCATGCTCGCATGCTCAAGCATATTTACGTGCAGCATCAGCAGCAAGCAAATCAATGTCATATAAGTGCGTATCATTGATCATCCTAATGAACGTAATAGGGTAATTACTTCGACTGAACCAGCTGTGTATGTATATGGACCGGCTAATCCGCGGATGGCCCCCCCAAAAATAGTTTGGATGGGGTCCAACAGCTACAACCGTAATCTAATTGTTGGGCGTCTGTACGACATGTTTGCACCAACCGCAGCTGACATTAAGAAGGCCAAGGAGGGCGGCGTCCACACGGCGCAGGCCTTGCTGATGGTGCCCAAAAGGGTGAGGAGCAGAGGCGTGGCGGGACGAAGGATGGCATCCTTAGGCTTGTGACGATCCCGTCTTGCCTGATAATGCCAGCTATCGTCTAATATGAAAAACAAGACAATGTGAAACTGAGGATAATTTTTGGCGATGTACGGCCCCATGATGTCGCAATTGCGCCCTTACACGTCACCACCTGCTGTCCCGGACATGCAACGACTTCAAACCACCACCAACTACCTCGAGTTCTAACTAAAAACCGCCGGCATTACAATTACCCGTCATGCGGTTTTGTGCACCGTCTTTGATTATTAAAAATAATACGACAGCATTTGGCGGAGATCAAGGGCCTCAGTGAGGCCAAAGTGGATAAGATGGTGGAGCTGGCGCGGCGGCTGGTGCCGGCGGCTGGCTGGCGCACTGGCACGGAAGCGCTTCAGGCCCGGGCTCGTGAGGTCATCAAGATTAAGGCAAGCCTTGCCTTTTGCCGCACCTGCATCAGCCATGTGCCTGCTGGGTACACCGTGCCTTTCAAAACCCTTCCTCCCCTCTACCGCGCCAGTTTATGTGTCTGTACGGTGTACGATGCTCAACAACAGTCCTTGCGGTACGGCACCCATGCCACCAATCCCGGGCTCCCTCCCAGGGCCCCTCCCTGGTATTTCGGACGTCAACAGTTGAGATTTTTCTTCGCCGTTTAATGAATATTTTTTCAGTCCTCCCCTTTTCCAATAACCCCAGACCGGTGCGACGGCGGTGGACGAGCTGCTGGGGGGCGGCTTCGAAACCAAGTCGTTGACCGAGATGTACGGCGAGTGGCGCTGTGGGAAAACCATGTTAGCACACACGTTGTGTGTTACTACACAGCTGCCTCAGGAAGAAGGCGGAGGAGCGGGAAAGGTGAAGCAGCTCTTACTTCTGCCACTGCTGCTGCTACCGCTACTACTACTGCTGCTGCTACTGCTACTACTACTGCTGCTGCTGCGATTGGCTACTACTGCTGCGATTGGCTACTGCTGCTACTTCTACTGCCACTGCGACTGCGACTGCTACTGCTGCCGGGCGCGGTCACTGCTCAATCTGTCTGCTGGGCCGACACATGCCCCTCAAAAGGCGTCCCTAATGCCTTACCGTGTACCCTGCTGAGTCTGTTGACACCTCGTCCCCCCCTCTCGCCCTCTCTCTACCCTCTCTCACCTCCTCTAGGCCGCCTTCATCGACACAGAGGGGACGTTTAGGCCCGAGATCGTCAAGGATATCGCGGACCGCTTTGGACTCGATCCGGAGGTGAGGGAGTTGGTGGAGGGAGCTTGCTTGCGATGCACTAAACGTTGGGGGGGGCTTGGGGGAGAGAGTTGGGAGGAGTTGAGACGTTTGGTGGGGAAGAGAGAGGATCTTTGGATTTGGACAACAAAGAAGTAATGATGAAGCGGGTCTAGGAAGGGTGTAGGCTAGGTCGGACTTTCACGGGTGTAAGATGGGACAACGACGGATGTAGCGGTTGGTGCCGTACGAAGATTAAAACCCTGACAAACATACGTACCTCTGAAGCATTTCGCTATCACGTAGTTCTCATGTAATCGAGAGCCAACCCTAACGGTGCTGCATGCCTCGGCTGGCTAAATATGCTCATCCGGATCAGCCATACGTGGTTCTAACCGAGTTACCGGAATTACCGGAATTGCCGGTGCTAACTGCATCTCACATGTCATGCGGGCAAATGGAGGCCGGATTTGCGGTCCTTGCGCTTTATGCATGTCGTTAATCCGTCTTTCCCCGTTTTGCCTGGAATTTTGATTTTACGGCCTCTGCGGTTGGTACGGCAATCTGAGAGTGCAGGCGGTGTTGAGCAACATTGTGGTGGCTCGAGCTCACACATCGGAACACCAGGCTGGTGAGTTCTTGCAAGGAAATGTCGCCTGTGACGTTTGCTGGTAGCATATATATAGTATTTATCCTATGGGATCTGTTAAGGCTGGTTGGGTGCACGTGCACGATGTCAAATAGACAGATGGAAGGAACGAAACACTGACTTTGCATCTTACCTTAAAATCTTAAAATCGCTGATATATACCTTACTTCCTCACTTTCCTTCCCTCTGGCCGCGCGAACATTAATGAGATCATGCACAAATGCGTCGCATCCTGTCCCAGAGATAACCCTCTCCGTCGCTCGTCGCTCCGGCCTGCCTTCTCCCGCCCCCGCACCAGCTCAGCTCCGTGTAAAAAGCCCTAAGCCCTCCCGCGCACCTCCTCTTCCCCCCAACCCCCGACCGGCGCCCATGATCCGTTGATCCTGCATGCAGACCTGCTAATTTCCCTGACTGCCCTCATGGCTGAGGAGGCATGTTTTCGGCTGCTGGTTGTGGACTCCATCACAGCGCCCTTCCGGACCGACTACACGGGCCGAGGGGAGCTGGCGGAGCGGCAACAGAAACTAAATGCCGTACTGGCAAAATTGAAAAAGGCAAGATGCTGCATTACTGGTATCGGTTTTATAGAGGGAAAAGGCTGAAGGCGCGCTAGATGCTTAGCTCGTAGGTCCTTAGAGATTTTTTCGAAGGTGTGAACAAGAGAGGGTGTGACAAGCGCTTTTATTAGGGCTGGTTTTGCGCTTTCCCATCCCATCTTTCCTTGTGTTGTGTTGTTGTGGTTACAGTATTTCCGCCGCCGACGCGGCGGGTGCCCTCACGAGCCGTGAGGCTCCAGAGCACGCTGTTGACGCTCATCAAAAACCTCAGTAAGGAAAGTAGCGATTTTCCTCGGATTGGTATTAAGAAATACCTTGCGGTATTAAGAAATACCTTGTGTGTCATTTTTTGGTAGTTAGTCACGTCAGTCACGCCGCCGCTGCTTGATTCCGCGCAAGCGATTCCATGCGAGTATGTGGAAAAGAATGCCGATGCTTTATGAATGGTGTACTTCGCCCGTTTTTTTAAATGCTTTGCTCATGCCTCCCTCCGGGCGGTGTATGGGCCTTCATCTCTTCGTCTTTTTCTCTAGCATGCGCCCGCCCCATGCCCGCGTGACGTGCTGCAAAAGCTCCCGGCGGTATTTGTCGATTAATGAAAATTAACAACGACTACTAACCGATGAACTAACAACTGACCCATCAGATTTCCGAGGAGTTCAACGTGGCTGTGGTCGTCACGAATCAGGTACTTCTGTTTTTTGTACGTACGATAGTCGTACATATACAAACCGAACGCACAGCGCCGCGTGATGGATGCAACCTCGTAGCAACGGCCATGCAACGGCGATGCAAAGGCAATATATGCTTACATGTCAAAGGGCTTGCTGTGTGCACGAATGTCGACCTATTTCAACAAGGCCTGCGACGCAACGCACATAACTCTTCATGCATGCTCGCGAACGGGTCGGAAGGGTGAGGTGCGGGAGGAGGCAATGCTCCGGAACCCGCCTAGCCGCAGACTACGTACCATCAAGCAGCAGCCCTTTATTGAATCGGTGTAACGCATGCATACGCGATGCGTTTTTCGCCTTTCCATTCGCTGAATCAGCCTGTCTCTCCCCGCCTCTCTCTCTCGTCTCTCCTCTTCTCCTTCCTCCGCGGCACAGGTGGTCTCAGACCCCGGCGGTGGAGCCATGTTCGTGTCCGACCCCAAGAAGCCCGTGGGGGGCCACGTGATGGCGCACGCGTCTACCACCCGCCTGTCCCTGAGAAAGGTACGGAACGCGAGTACGCGTACGGGACGGTGTACGGCGACGACTCCTTGCCAAAGAGGCATTATTGCCACCGTTGTTTCGAGAGCTCAACGTGGCGACACAGCTACGAGGGGGCGGTGGCGTGGCTGAGGGTGTCCTTTGGGTTACAGTGATGCATCTTGACATTATTACGGTCCCATTATTTTCAATTTTAGGGCCCGATAACTCCCTCACCTGCGCGGCTTTACTGACAACTGTCCACAGCTCGCCTCATACTGGCCAGTGCTGTGTTATCGTTGCCGGATTTACACTTCCTTTCCTGTAAGCTTCCCGCATATTTATGGCAGGTTTATGAATAACTGCCCTCCGCCTAGGACAACACGCACAGAAGCCCTTTCCTTGCCATTGCGCGCAGGGTAAAGGCGAGCAGCGGCTGATCAAGGTTGTGGCTTCACCTTGCCTTGCCGAGGCGGAGGCAAGTTTCCAGTGCAGCGGCCAAGGCGTGACGGACCACAAGGACTAAGGGAGCCTAGGCCACCGAGACATGCGGAAAAGAGGACGCCACGTGCTTGACATCATCGATCAAGATCTGAGCCACGTGCGTGAGATCTGCGCCACGTGCAGCGGCCAAGACGGAACGCAACGGCAAAGAAATTTCTGCGCCTGAAATGACGCGAGTCCCATTTATTTGACCGGTGGGGGGGTGCGAAACCGTCATGTTATGATGTTGACATTAAGTAATGGGGAATGGGATGTGGTGGGAGTGGGGAGGTGAGGCGAGGCATGGCGGGGAAGGGGATAAACGAGTTGCAGGAACAGGGACAGGTGGAGTTGCTTGTTCGTCGCCGTCGTCGCGGTCCCTACTCCTTAACTGAGGGCCTTTGGTGGGTTTGTTGGTTGCTAAGAAAGCAAAGGTATCTTGTGCAGCACAGTGCAGCGCGGTGCGGGGTGATGCGGAGTCGTGGTGCGGAGCGGTGCGATCCATGGAGGAGACGTGGTGGTGGGAGTGCCCACGGTCGCGTCTCATGATCCCAAGGTAATCGGATTGAGAACAACGCTGACCATTGGAGGTGTGTGTGTGTGCGTGTGTGTGTGTGTGTGCGTGCGTGCGTGTGTGTGTGTGTGTGTGTGCGTGTGTGTGTGTGTGTGTGCGCGCGTGTGTGTGTGTGTGTGTGAACGTAGGGACACCCCCGCAGGGTCGCCCCGTGCAAGCAGCCAAAAAGGGGAAGGACCTCTGTCCTACGTGAGGGCTCGTAGTGGGAGGTGCGCAGGGGGGGGGTCGGGGCTGGCAGCTGACAGACGATATGGGAATAACGCCGCCGACGACGAAGAGAGATACTTTGAAAGCGAGGACGGTGCGTGCGTGGCAGGAAGAAATTGTAGCGAAAAAACGTCCGCAGGGCGAGATGGGACGCGACTGGGGCCGTGGTTGGCGCAGGAGATGTGGCGTTTTTTTGATGTTCGTGCGAAGGTCGAAGATTTTTGAAGGGGAAAAATGGCAGCAGGTGATGGTTTGCTTGAAGAGCAGCGATGAAGGAGCGAATGTCGTCGCCGTGCATCTGGACGGTGCACGTGTGGTGATTATTTAAGTATATGCGCTGCATTTCCTTAGTGTGAGGTGGTGCGGAGCGACCTAACAGACGTGAAGACGGGAAGGTGCTTGGCGATCCGGGCACCCGGGGGTCTTGGGTGGTTTGGGGGGAAGGGGGCCGATGCCGCGCGTGTACAATGTGTGTTTCCGTTCTTCCAGCTTTGTGTCCATCGACGCGCGTCAGTAGCGGGAATGTGTGAATCTGAGTTGTGGAAAACAGTAGAAGCTCGTTGGTTGGTTTGTATGTCTCCCTGCGCCTTCATTTTCGTTTGCCTTTGGGGGCAAATGCAGGGTTTTAGGCCTACAATTCGAGGCACGTAGACAAGTTCAGCTGCCTTTATGTAATTGTACCTAAAGAAAGCGTCGTAATAACAATTTAAACGGCCCATGGCAATGTGAGTTCCGGAAGGACTGGAGGACTTTCTCATGTCCTCAGTATACCGAAAGATTTCAGAGGATGTAATGAATGAATGGTAATTTTGAAGCCATCCTCCATCACGCGCCTGTAAAGCTCAGAAGGCTGCCCGGACGGTTTGTGCCGGCCTCGATAAAAAGGAAAAGCTTAAGTTTACGTAGTGATGTATACTTTGTCAGGAAGGTTGCATCCGAAGGCGCTTCTGGCACTGGTGCTTGCGGGTGATTGCTGGTAGATGTACGGCTGCCAAATTCATTGACGCAACAAACGCGTTCCCCGTAGGGGCTTCGTTATGGACTTTGTAGGGTCCAAGAAGGGAAATCAGGTAGCATGCTTGTTGATGAACATGGATTCCCATATGGACAGTGATGTTGTCGGCTTGGCAGTGGTTATCCACCCGGAGCCCTTTCCGCATATCGAGATAGCCGATAACTAAGACATGTTTAAATTAATATCAGTTTTGGGGAATATAACCGGAATAACTGGGCAATGCCTTCCTTCTACCAGGGTGGAGCACTTGGATCCACAACTGCGACAACTGTCAATGTACATCAAGATTGCGGGAACTCGACAATTCGTTGTTGAACATTCCACCAAATTAAATATAAGGTGTATAACACTATTAAACGCTTTCAGGTCTGTCTTGCTGCAATATAGCCCTAAGGATGGGCACAGAACACAACCGTCGAGGTGAATAAGAAGCACATCACTTGTCAAACCTACGAATTACTGTGAACTGTGTACTAGGGGCGCTGAGATCCGCCCGCCCTGCAGCTTCCCTACTTTATACAGTAATTTTTAAATTACATGTGAACAGTTGGGCAGAAGCGCCCAACAGCCGAAGTCCTGCGTCCTTACGGCTCCATCTTCATTTGAACCTGATAACCTACTGATACGCTTGGAGTGGAGGCGGCAGCGCACTGTTTGTTCTGTACCCATCCGGCGGCAAGCTGGGGGCATAGACAACAAAGCTAGGCTTTCCCAGCCATGACCGTCTAAGCAGCACTAAGATGGAACCCATCAGGTACGTAGAGGCATTACATGCACATGTCGGGGCTCATCCGTTGCTGCTTCGCCCCGTACGCTCAAGATGATGCTAAGCAAAGATGCGCCGGATGCCCTCACGGAACGGCAGTGTCTGCGTCCGTCTGCGTTCGCTTAGCAAGCTTGAAGACAAGGAGCGTTGTGTCTGGAAAGTCGAGGATCACTACGTCATCCATACCGATGCCGACAACGGTCGGCGAGATGCTGACATTCGCCGCGACACAGACGCACGGCGCTCCTCCACCTACACTGGCGATCACGTATTTGGACCAGAGAGCACCAACGAACAGGTCTATAGGGAAGCTGTGGAGGCGTTAGTTCATGACGCGGTCGAGGGCAAGAATGTAACGATAATGGTATATGGCCAGACCGGCAGCGGTAAAACGCACACGATGGGAACCCCCGAGGCCCCGGGTATCATCCAGCGGGGCCTAATGGACATCTTTGAGCTCATTGCTGAAAAGGAGGACCGAGACTTTTTGCTGCGGTTCTCGTTCCTTGAGGTACGGCATGTGTTTGCTTGTCTACATGAAAGCTACATGAATACGTTCGACTGGCCGTCGAACCCCGTTTGCTGTTTTGCAGCGAAGAGGACCGACCCCTTCCTGCCGGTGAAACGTTTCTCCAACTGAACAGCTCTTCTTTGCTTGGCCATCCTGAACTCTTTCCTGTTCCGCGCCTGCTCGGCAGCCCCAAACATTCCCCCCAACATAGTTCTCACATATTTCTGGCGTATCAGTCAGTTCTTCGCATCGGCTTCACTCGTTTGTTGTTCGTCTTCCCCCTACATCTCATCCCGCTCCTCATATTCCATCTATCTAAATCCCCCTCCTTGACCGCAACCCTTACGTGCCGCCCAACGGGGCATGTCCTCCACAGATCTACAACGAGAACGTGACAGACCTGCTCTCCCCCGAGAAGGTTCCTAAGCCCCTGCTCATCAAAGAAGACCGCGTGGTGGGCCCTGTGGTGCTCGGTCTGAGCGAGGAGATCGTGACCTGCCCCGAGGACGTCCTGCGCCTGCTACGCCAAGGGGAGGCCAGGCGCCACGTGGCAGCTAGCAAGATGAACGAGAGGAGCAACCGGTCACACACCGTGTCGCGAATGGTGGGAATACTTACGTAATGGACGAGTCCAGCTGCCGCTATTGCCTGATGTCTGCAGGCTGGCTGACTTAGCTTTCTTGGTCTCGTTCCTACCTCACATGACCCCACCTTTCCCATTCATGTTTGGTTCTTTTTCCCTCTCCTTTCTTCTTCTTTCCCTTTCGAATTACGGCGGCGGGGACCATTACAGGGTTTGGAAAGCTGGCCTGCTGGCTGCGAGGCGATTAGGATTTCTCCACCCATATCCTTCAATCAAATTCCGATCTCTTTTCAATGAGCTGACTTGATACTTTTACTTTTTCCTACCCATCTGTGGCTTAACCCCTTCCCTTTCTTCACCATCCTCATTCCCCCCGGGGTTTGCAGGTTCTCGAGAGCCGTCCCGCGGGCTGCGAGGTCAGTACCAGCACGCCTGTCATCGTGTCCAACTTGGTGTTAGTGGATCTGGCGGGGTCGGAGAGCGTCGCTAAGACCGGCGCGGAAGGCGAACGTCTCAAGGAGAGCAGCTGCATCAACAAGAGTCTTCTAGCGCTTGGGGAGGTGGTCTTCAAGCTTAGCGAAGGGGCGTTGGCCGCAGGTGACTGGGCTACCAATGGGGTGGATGGACTGGTTAGGGGGTCGGGAGGGTGGCTCGGCGGGCGGCTTACGTTGTTGGTTGGCCACTGAGCTTGGGCAGGTGAGAGACTAGCAGCGCGGCAGTCCAAAAGCTCCAAAGGTAATGAAGATGACGGCCATAGTGCTAAGTGGTCGCGGTGGCAGTCTGATGAGCGCAGTGCAGCTATACCTTGCAGCTATACGTTGCAGCTGTACATTGTGAATATCCCTTACGGCCCGTTCGTGTGGAAATGTGTTTTACATCCGCTGCTTATAGAAGCAATAAGCGGTCCAGCCTTAACGAACCGAGAGGCCACAAGGCAAAAAGGGCTACAAAGGAAGCAAAGTGGACATCCGCACATACTTGTCTTTCTTTTATCCACTCTGTCCTTGCGAGTCCGCTTCTGTTTTCACTCTGCGAGGTCATGTTGAGCCTTTGCTCTTATGGTTCTAGACGGATACGTGACCCATTTCATGGACCTGATCTTCTTGACTTCATCACCATTCATTGCGCCAACCAGCAAATCCAGTTCACGATCTTTTGTCACTCACGCTTCTCCCTCATTACTTATCTTTAGCCCTGCCCGTAAACATACCCGTTAAAACACTGTACGCAGGCGCTCACATTCCGTACCGTGACAGCAAGCTGACGCGGATCCTCAAGCCCTCGCTGGGTGGCAACTGCAAGACCATGATCATCTGCACCGTCAACCCTGCGGCACGGCATACGGAGGAGAGCCACCGGACACTTCGCTTCGCCTGCCGAGCCAAGCGGGTGGTCAACACGGTGGTGGTGCAGGAGGTCATGTCAGAAACGGCTGCAGCGAGGTGGCAGGCCAAGGCGCTCAAGGAACTCCAGCGGAGGCGCGCCGAGGGCATGTGCGTAAGGCTGGTTGACTTTTGACCTGCCGGGCCGCGGCGCAGTGTGTGGGCCGCGTGGATGGGTGGGAGTAGCCATGTGTGATGGATGTACCGCACGTGGAAATCTTTTTCGAAACATTATACGGAGGGAAGGTCCAATTGGAATTCGATGGGTGGGCTCCGCTGGGGCCGCGTTGGTGTGTTATTTCCTACGCGCTGTGGGGGAGGGTGGGGCCGTGACGGGAATGGAGAGCACGTTATCATACCAAGAAATATTTCTAGATAGGTAGGTAATGGGTAGGTAGATGACTTGCAAAAGCTAAACGTGTTGGGCTCTCCATCGTCGTCTTAACGTTGTCCTCCTCATCATCATCACATTGGATTGATCGCCCTCGTTGTCTTTATCGCGCTGCAAGTCGGCCCAGAATTTTCACCTTTTCTGCCGACTGTGCGATGGACGTCGCAGGGTGGCGTCGTCTCAGGACGCCCGGATGCAGATCCGAGCGCTGCGTATGGAGCTGCTGCGCAGCGAAGAGGAGAGGGCCAAGGCCGCGCGGGAGGTGCGTCCCTTTCCCTCCCGCCCAGCGAACTGCAACGACGTTTATGCAGAGGACGGTTCTTTCCCCGAAACTCTTAGACGCACCTGAACGTTCTTAGCCTCCTCTTCATGATTTCGAGGTGCTCCTCTGCGTCCTTTGTAATATGCAGCACACGCACCCACAGATGGGGGGCCAGCGCCGTCGATACTGAGGGTGTTTTTCTTTACCTCAGAGGTTTTGCCCTTTTTCGCTGACTTCTTTCGGCTTTCTGCCGCCATGTTAATGCCGGCAGGCGGAAGTAGCTCGGCAACTGATGGTCCACACTTTCGACATGGCTGCGGCGGCAGTTGCTGCGGCGGCGGGGTCGGAGACGCCCACTCGCTCGCGGCCGCACTCGCAACCGAGCGTGCACGTGCGCGCGCGGTCCTGGAGCCCCCGCGCCGCCGCACTAGCTGCTGGCGTGATGGAGCCTCCATGGGTGTCCTCCGGTGAGTGGGAAGACTGCTTGACAGGGTACGTGGGTGTAGGGGCAATAATACGCACATAAGCGCTGAGTATATGCTTTGGGGTTCGTTGACCCATGCGCCATCGTGCACGCTTTTTCCTTGTTCTCCTTACACGGTAGCTGCATCAGGCGTACGGGCGCCAAGTGCGCTGCAGAAATCTCCATTCCTGCAAACAGTGACTTACCCGTATTTCATCCAACGCTAATTCGGCGTCCTGCATGTGGTATGCGTTGTGTGTGTACAGCTCCCGCACAGCTGATTTTTTCGGCTCGCCAGGCGACACCCGCTTCAATTAGGCTAACCTCTCCGGACACGGCAACGGAGGAGGAGGAGGATGCTGGCCGAGCAGGTGACGTGGAAGCAGAGGCCTCGATCGTCAGCAGCCCCAACGAGGCCAGCAGCAGCAACCCCAGCAGCTCCCGCACCTGCGAGCCGCAGCCGCTGGCGTCGCTGCTGCTGCTGCCGGCTTCGCAGCAGCAACAGCAGCAGCCTATAGACAGTGGTCAAGGTGAGCTCTCAACCTTCCATGTAAGAAGGTTACGATGCCTGAACGGTCCTGGGACGTCTGAGAGATGGGCCTTTTCCCCCCAACAGCAAATGATGGCATGAGGTGCGCGTTGATTGTACTTGTTAGGGTACAGCAGGCGCTTGGGGGCACTGCTACACTGAGGCCACATTTCCTCGCCATGCCACCACCACTGTATCTGTCTGTTCCTCTGCCGGAAAGACGCGCTGGCCTTCAACCAGCGCGTCTTTTCGGCCATGGAATTGACACTTGCGTGCGGTATTTTGGCCGCGGGGTGACCTCGCCGCTGTGAACTAGGCAGTGCTGTGCGTGGCGATACCGCAGCCCAGCACCGAGGCCCAATGGGCAAAGGCAAAGGCAAGCCAGCTCCGTTGGTGTTAGACAGAAGTGCCAACCTCGCCGACCTCCATGCAAAACAAGACAATGCCAAAGGGAAATAAAAAATTCTTAGCGAGGCGCATGGAGGCATAGTTAAGGCCATTGAAACTGACAAGTTTCCAAAGCACAAATCTGTGCCTGACTATGAATATGTGTGCATGCATGTGCGTGTGCGTGACGTTTGGGCCTGCAGGTTTGGAAGCTTACAGCAGTCTAGTCCAATCCGCCTCTGCCGTCGCAGCAGCCGCACCTACACGTGCTGGAAATGTTGAGAAGGCAGAAGTGGATCCGCCTAATTGTGTACATTCAACGGCGGAGGCTGCGGTGGCAGGGATGACGGTGACGGTGGCGGACACTCCGCGAGAACGGCCGTGCCCGCTGCCGCCATCGCAGCAACAGGCTGGTAGCATTGGCCGACAGCGCGGCAAGAAACCTCAGGCCCCACCGCTGCAGCTGCAGGTGGGATTATGGGTTCAGGGTTAGGTCCTGGTTGAACAGTATATTTATCAGTCAGTCGTTAGGTGCGGCGTTTGCTGGGTTCGAAGGTTTTAGAATGCATAAAACCATAAATCCTTATAGATAGATAAATAGATAGGTAGATAGGTGCCAATTCGCTGGACCTGTCGTATTGCCTGTTATCCTGGGCTCTGAATAACGACACCAGGAAGCCGGTCCCATGGCTACAAGAACGTCGTCTTCTGCAGTTGGACAGTGTACTATTTCCATGCCTCCTTATACATCTTGTGCTCGAAACATTGCTTTTTTGCGTCTATGCGCTTGCATGTTCACGTGAATTTCGCTTGTGTTTGCCTGTTTGTCCGCGGGGCTTATTGGATGGCAATGATTGTGGTGCTGGTATGGCGTGCAGGAGGCGCTGCAGCTGTGGCGCATAGAGAACACGAGGCTGCAGGAAGAGAACAGCCAGCTGAGGCAGGACATGAAACCTAAGCTGAGACAGGAGCTGCAATGGCTGACTGGTAGGCCCGCACGTACCTGCGTGTAACGTGCTACACACCTACCCAAACAACTTGTACATACCTGTTTATCGGCATTATCGCATACATGGTGCAGAATGTGTGTGCCTTTCCGTGTCCATGCCGCCACCGTCTCATCGCGCCCCTGCCCATCCTGTTCAGCATGCCCGCCCGCCTGACCTACCCGTCACCCGCCTTGTTCCCGTTCCCGTTCACCCTCCCCGACCAGCCACTATCGCCACCCACGAGGCGCTCAACGCGCAGCTGCAGTCAGAGCGCGATGCGGCGCTACAGTTGGCAGAGGGCTTGCAGGAGGAAAACGCCCAGCTGCATCGGACCGTCGCGGATCTGCATCGCCAGCTGCATTCCGCGCACGCGGTGGCAGCGGCAGCGGCGGTGGCCGGGGCCCATGCGTCGGGAGAGGATGGTGACGACCCTGCTATGGTGGCTGCTGCCAGTGCCGCGGCGGCTGTGGCGGCAGCCAATGCGCGTGCAGAAGAGTTGGAGGCCCTGGTAATTCACATGCAGAGGGAGGTAGAGGCGGCGACGGCGACAGTGGAGGATGCGCATGCACGCGGCAGGGCGGCGTTGGGCGAGGCTCAGGAGCGGGTGCGGCGTGGCGAGACAGAAGCGCAGGAGTTGCGGGCGCAGCTTGAGGCAGTGATGGACGAGGTAGAGGACCTGCGCGCCCGGTTGCAGGTGAGTTACCGTTTATGGAGGAGTGGGAGCATATGGTGCATTTGTAAGACGCAACTAGAGGACATAGTCTACAGCATGGCGCAACATTGGATGAGAGTTGCGGTAACTTAGTTGCGGAGAGATCGGGTGAGAAAGAAGACGCTACTGTCTTGTGGGCGTTTGTGTGGCTGAATGTGACATGCGAGCGCAAGCATGGAAATGTTTTGCAAGCAGCGAAAAAACCAGGAAAAGCGATCCCGCGACGAAGAAGAGTAGAAACTGGGAACAGGTTACGGTTATATATGTCCCCAACTACAATCATCATTGTTTGTTTGTGTCGGATGGGAACATTTCTAACGTCAAATCGCATAGCATATGGCTCGTGTGTGTGCAGTGGCTTGATTGCGTTCTGTGCATCACGGTCTGTGCGGTTTTTCTCGGACCGCAATGCATATTTGCCGTTCCTCGCTTCCGAGGGCCCCGAGGGCCCCCTCACCGCTCACGGTTTTCCGACTCCCTTGGTACCTCTCCTCTCCTCTCCTGCCTAGGCCTACGAAATCGGGAGCATCTCCTCGCTAGGCACAGATCTGAACGGCAGCTCTGCGCCGTTCACCCAGCGGAGCGAGCTCGGCTCTGCGCCGATCACCCAACGAAGCGAGCTCGGCTCTGCGCCCATTACCCAGCGAAGCGAGCTTGGCTCGGCGCCAGTCACCCAGCGGAGCGAGCTCGACATTAGGCCGTTCCGCACTCGCCGCGGCGGCATACGCGGTAGCAGGGGTAGCGGGGGGATCTCGTCCAGCGCAGCCGCGACAGTTGCCGAGGCAATGGCCCAGTTGGAGTTGGAAATGAAGAAGTTTGAGGAGGAAGAGAGGCTGTGCTCGAGCGCGCGTGAGCCCGCCACCTCGGACCAGCCCCAGCCACCCTTGGGCCAGCAGGAAATGGCCCAACAGGAGGCTCAGCACGACACGCAGACGCAGATTACATGGGGTTCGTCGGATCACGGGGGGACGGAGGGAAGCATGGGAGGGAGCGTCAGGATGCGCCTGTCGGCACCTCTTCATCGCCGCCATCGCACTGGTCGTCCTAATTCTGTGGACAGCACTGCTGGTAATGGTGGCGGTCGTGGCGGTGGCAGAGGCAGCGCCGCTGACGGAAGAGAGGAAGAGCTCGAGAAGGGCACAAGCACAGACTTGGTTGCGGCGCAGGCGGTGACGCAGCAACCCGGAGGCATTGCCGTACGTGCGGTCAACAAATTGATGTCAGCACACAGGGCCAGTAGTAGGATGGTGGAGGTGGAGAGCAGCGGCGACGGAGGCAGCCGTGCAGCGAAGCAGGACGCCTGCCTCACCCTCACTGGGGGCACGGGCCGGAGCCGTTTGTGTCGACAGGATACGGAGCAGGCATTAGATTCGGATAGGGCTCGGGAGTTGGAACCGGCGTTGGAGCCTGTAGAGATCCTGCAGAGTCTGTGCATGCAGTACGCCACGGCAGCAGCTGCTGCCGCGGCCGCCGCCGACCCTTCCATGTCGAATCTCCGTGCGTCGGCGGAGGAGGCCCATGCTGCGGCGGCACTGGCGGCTGCGGCGGCGCGGCAGCGAGTCATGGAGGAGATTGAGGCGGTGCGCGCCGACGCGGCGGCGGCAGTGGAGGAGGCGACGGCACAAATGGCGGAGGAGCTGGCGGAGGCGCAGGATGTGGTGGCAAGGCAGGAGGCCATCATCGGGGACCTGCAGGGGCAGTTAATGAAGGCGCTGAGGGAGATGGAATCGCTACGGCACCAATCGCAGGTGGGGTTGGAGTGACGGGATGGAGCTTCACCCTGGGCTCTTCCACATGTCGCATGGTTGTGTATTTGCCTTTAAGGCCATTCTAGTGTGGTGTGATGGTGTGGTGCTGTGCTTAATACACGGCATCATGTATGTAATTCGGGCAAGCATGGCCCAGATGGGCTGGTTACTCGAGTTCTGGTATATTATGGTGTTCCTAGTATCGAATTAGTCCCTCATTCGGCGTGGTCAGCAGAAAGGCGACCGTTAGACATCCCCAAGCAGCATCCTCCCGCCATCTACGGTCCAAACTGGCACCACCTAACTCACGGATTTCTGGGTGCTAAACTTTACCACGGCCCAAAACCGCCGTCGCCAATACTCCCGATCCCCGTTTCGATGGCGCTCGCCCCCTTTTTTCCTGGCACCCGCTCAGTCGGCGCGGGAGCTGAGTCATCAGCTGCAGCAGCAGCTACTGCTACTCCAGGGCGAGACTACGGCACGGCCGCAGCCTGAGCTCACGGCGGCGCTGGAGGCGGCGTTGGAGGCGGCTGAGGTGGCATTACTTAAGGCGGAGGCGCGAGCCGCCGCGGTGGCGGAGGAACGCGACGGCCTAAAGGAACGGCTGAAGGTTGTGGCGGCGGCTGCTGCTGCCGGCGCCGCCGCTGCGGCCGCAGCCCGGGGCGGCGGCGCCAGCTCGGACGAGGATGAGGAGGTGGAGAATCCGGAGGATGCGGAGGCACGGCGACCGCTGCTGGCGCCGTCGCCGTGGGTGCCGGCCGGAGGAGGGAGGGCAGGAGCCGGACGCACGCCGCCGCGCTTGGTGAGTAGGGTAGGGTATGTGAGGGCCCGTGTGTCGGCCTCGTTTTGATCCTCGTCTTCTGCTGCTAGGCCGGGATATTGAAGCGTATGTCCTCCAGCGTAAGTCCTCAAGTTCAGCCGGGAGGACATGGCCACTTGGCAGTTGTATAGCTGCAGGAGACTGAGGGCGCTGCGTATCAGTACCAGGCCCCTAAGACCCAGCCTGCATTTCGTTGAACTTGAAGACGACATGCTAAGGCGACGGCCGTCCCGTCCTTTTGGTGGCCGCACCGCTTTTTTTCTTTCCCCCCCTTTTTGCCGAGGGATTTTGGTGACTTTCGATGAAAATTACCGCCCCTTCCTAACACCACTTTCCCACTTCCTTTTCGTGTCCTTTTGGTCATTCAGGCACCCACACCGCCCGCGCATCTAAACCCACGCATATTCTTTACGTACCCGTACCTATCCGTTATTGTCCTTTCCCTGTCCTCCCCTTCACCTGCCCACTTTCCCAGGGCCCCCGAAGCTGCCAAGACGATAACGCGGACGGTCCGGGTGCAGATGCGTCCGAAGGACACAGTCGTGATGCAGGAAAAGGAGGCGCGGACGAGGTGAAGTCCGGAGACGAGGAGATGTCAGCGCCAGTGGAGGTACAGAGGCAGCAGACTGACGAGGTCGTTTCGGTGGTGCGAAGGCTGCGGCTTGAAGGAGAGGAGCAGGAGGCAGTGGTGAGGCAGCTGCACAAGGATTTGGTGGGAGCGAGGGAGGAACTGAGTCGAGCGCTGGAGGAGAAGCTTGCCGCGGAGGAGGTGGGACAGGGCGAGTGCGCACGTGCATGTGCAATGGAACGTCGGCTACCTGTAGGGGAAAGTCTTTGTAAATACACATTAATGTGTTAGATTGTGTTGCTAAAAGCTATGCTGCACTTTTAAGCAATGTGCCACACCCTCGCGTGATTAGGTGCGACCAGGGGCCCTTATGCACCCGGGCCTTTGCACAAAGCCGGCATCCCGTCTCTCGTCTCCCGCTGCGGAATGGCAAGTGACAGTGACCTCATCGTCTCCCGCTCCCTTCACTCCTGTCCCCCCGCTGGCGACCCATCCCTGCTCCGCATGCCGGCCTAACTGCAGAAAGCCAGCCGACTCCGAGCCGCCCTAGAGGAGTGTAAGAGTGAGTACATGTGCGTGCATGTTTGAAGGGAATTATTCGTTAGCGTAATGGGTGCGGCTGGACGACCGGGGGTGCGCCGCCGTCCATGACCCAGCCCCGCCGCCGTCCATGACCCAGCCCCACGCCCGACAGAACTCACAAACCTAATAGATCTGTATGTGTTCTAAGCGGCCTTCCCAAACGTCTCTCCTGGATCCCCAGCTCTCATTTTCAGTCTTTTCCCCTGTTTGTTACATCTGTTGAGCTCCTCCATGCCTTGCCTGTGTTGTAGAGCGCCTGCGGCGGGCCGCTAACGAGAACAATGCCCTGCGTTCCGAGAGCCAGCAGCGCATCGCCGAGCTGACCAGCACCCGGCGGGCTGTGGAGGAGCGGGAGGCCAAGCTGGCGGCCCTGAGGGCCACCTTGCTGGTGTGTGAGCTGCCCGGCAAGGAGCTGTCCTTCAGCGGCGGAGGCACGAGCAGCGGTGGTGGAGGCGGTGGACGTGGAGGAGCAGGAGGCAGCGGCCGCGGTACACCCAGCACTGTCGCCGCTGCCGCCGTGGCAGCATCACCGCAAGCTGCTGTTTCTGCTCCTGTGAGCGTTCGGGAGTTATGTCCGGGCGGCGTGTGTGTGGCGTCTGGCTGGCATGTGAACATGGGGACCACAGCTTTAGCGGCGATAAGGCCAGGAGCGGCTCTGAAGCGACCGATTCGGTCCAAATCACAGTCCTCTCCGTTGATCCCCTGCGTCTTGATGAATTACGGGTCGATGAATAAACAAAATAAATGAAGATGGTCAAATGGGTAAACGTGGCGCTTCTTTTACTGGCATAGCCATCCTTGGTTGGTCCATCCGCGTCCATTCACTGCTTCATATCAGGTTTGAAGCAGGCCAGGCGTCTGGAATGGTTAAGTGGTCGAAGGCAAACAATAGAAGATGCTTTCTCTACTGACTCTTCCTGTTGCCCGCTGACGCTTCCATCCGTCCTTGGCAGGCCGGCCCACCTCCAGCGCGTAGCAACAGCCAGGGCCCAACAGGCTCCGGAAGCAAGCCAGCGGCGGTCAAAACGGCTGCGGCTGCGGCCACCGCTACGGTCACCACAGCAGCTCGGCCAGCAGTGACAGCTCCAGCTCCCCAGGTCTCGGCTGCGGCCTTGGCGGGCGGCGCCAGTGGCGACGGCAGCGGTCGCACCACTGCGAAGGAGGCCACCACAAGCGGCGCCAGTAAGGGTGGAAGCGCCAGTAAGGGCGGGACAAGCGTGGGGCCCAAGGAGGACCACAGCAGCGGCGGGGTCAGCAGCGGCTGTAGCAACGGCGCGGTTGTGGGTGGCAATAGCAGCGGCGGGGTCAGCAGCGGCTGTAGCAATGGCGCGGTTAGCGCGGATAGCGGCCCTGGCGGAGGCGGCCGTCGTCTGGTGATGGCTAGGCCACCGGCAGTGCGGTCTCATCCTTCAGGGGCATCTTCAGCACGAGGCTGCAGCAGTATCGCAGGGACCGCTGCCGCGGCGGCGATGGCAGCAGGAAATGGTAAGGGCTGATCTGACCCTGCCTGCCTGGCCCAACTTATCGCCACATGGTGAACTGTTTATATCTGCTATGCGCGTGCTGTCTATTCTTCGTGCCTGCATACTGGAACTTAAAGGAACCGTAAAAAATGCAACGCGTATTGCTGAATCGTATATGCGTAAGTGTGTACGTGTCGTGCACGTGAGCTGCGTGATGCGTCCATTCTGCCTGACTGTCATCACGGAGTTGTGGATTAATTCCGTTCAAGCGAACCTGCGAATAGGAGTTCTAACTGCATTTCGCATCAAGACACCTAAAGCCCCGCTGCATTAGCTAATGGCGAAGCATCAAACATGTCTGCACGCTTTCTTTAAGCCCAGTAACATGTTTTGAACACGACGGGCACCGATGTGCACCTTCCGTCCCTGCAGCGAGCCTCATGGAAGCTGCCGCAGCGGTGGCGGCGGCCAAGGACCGCTACGCGGCTGACTCGTACCGTGGAGGAGCGGAGGCAATGGAGGAGGAAGAGGATAAGTCCACCCCGCAGGTGGCACGCCGAGTGCTCTTGCACAGGAAGCACACACCAACCGGCAAGAGCCAGCCGCTGAACACCAGCTTGGTAAGAAACGCTTGCCGAAACAATGAATTGCGTGTGGAGGAAAAAAGCGACACCCTTGTCCATAATACGACACATATTTAACGCCAGAGGCTTCAGCAATAACTCTGCAACATCTGATAACCATCTGACTCGCCTAGACATCCCTGCTCCGTCAAGCGCCAGGCTTACTTTGGGTCGCCGGGTTTACATTCTTGCCGGTGCAGGTCCATGGGCTATTTGACCGGTTGGACCGCCTTGAGCGTTTGTACAGCAGGCGATTGCAGCTGGTGCCACAGCAGTTGCACTCGAAGCAACAGCGGCCGTCCAAGCAGCGGCGACAACGACAGCGGGTGCGCGTTGGCCACCCAAGAATATTGCTGCCCCGGGGCTCCTTGTACACCAGCAGCAGGAAGCGAAGGCAGCAGCAGGTGGTACAGCTTCTAGACGTGAAGGCCCAGTTCTCTAGCGCCGGCTGTGGTTTAGAGCTGCTGGCACCGAGCATGGAGAAGGTGGACGGCGCTGTGACGTACCCGACGAAAGGAGGAGGCACTGTTGCTGCTATTACGGCGGCGGGAGCGGCGGCGGCGGCGCTGGTGGCGTCGGATTCGAGAACCGTCGGGACGACGCCTGCAGATGCTGCTGGGGCTGCAACGACAGCGGCTCTACTCCCGGCTTTGCGTGCGCAGCTATGTATCACCCTTCGGAAAGTATAGACAGACATTAGCGCTTTGGAAGGGTGGCTTACTTCGTAGTATGATTTTCTTGGATTAGTCGAAGCAGCGGCAAAAGCAGTGGTGGCGGCAGTAGCGGCAGCTGTGGACGACAAGCCTAACCAGCAAGCAGGCAGGCTATTGGTTGATTAATTGGTTGTGGTAGGTTGGCTGACTCGGCGGTTGAGTGGGTTGCTGCGTTGGCTTAGCGGGTGTTTGCAGACGGCGTGCCTCATGCAACCGCCATTGAGGGGTTGCGGTGGTGCGTGATTTGCAGGGGGAAGGAGTTCATGCAGAAGATATCATGGGAAACAGGTGTTGTCTTCCAGGGCGTACATATTGAACAAGGAATGCGCCCAGGGGAGAAGTTTGTGAGGGGATGGTTGCTGCGCAGGTTTCTTTTTCGGTGTGCGGCAGGAATTGGGTCCTGGATGTCGGCCTGGCAGGTGTGGGCGCATTTGGCTTTCATCACTTTTTCCCGCCTTGAACATTGTTTCTTTAGGAAAGGCCTGTTTGAGCGGTTGTCTTTGTGCTTCATTTTGACTTCGCTTAAGCGGGCGAGGATCAACCATGTCCGGCAAAACTTATGCAGCGTGCGCCGGCGACGGTTAACAATGCCCGGCGAATATAAACTAGCGGTAGACAGGGAAAGGGATAGGGCTCCGGTTCTAGTTGGAAAACCTAACAGACAGGATCTAGATAGTCGTGGTCGTGAAAAGGCGTGGACAACTGCTAAACTTTTAGTTGGCAGGCAAATATTTATCCTGCTCGTTGGGATATAGTTAGCCTGCTGCTCTTTGCTTTTGCCTGTATCTGCCATGGTCATAGAACGCAGAACTGTAACGGTAATACTGTAGACCTTCAAGAATCAGCTTTTTTCTTTCGTCCATCTTTCCCGGATGAGTCCTGGATCCATATCTTGACGCAAGTGGCCACTTAGCAGATTATACATCCCAGCTTTATCTTACGCCACAGCGAAAAGTCCCGCGAAAAGTCACCGCGCCACTATGAAGCGCAACGGCAGCGGCAGCCGGATAATATACATATATATAAAGCTCCGCGAAGTACGCACGACCGAGTACCGCAGGAAGCCGTAACTTGCAGTAAACAGACACATCACATTACATTACATCATATTGTAGTGGATCCAACCGAATCCCCGGGTCCTGACCTCGATCAAGTACTGTGTTGACCAGTCTCACGAGTTGCCCAGTCTCACGTCGTGGACTGTCGCACTGAGGGGCCGCTCTTACATATCCATCATAATAAAACCCAATCTCTTGTCCGTCGAATTTTTTTAATAATATCTTAAAACGGTGGGAGCATGCCCTGACCGGAATTCACCCTATGAACCCAGACCACCTGCACCCTCCTGCACCCGTCCAAGGCGAAGACCAAAATGCAAAGCTCAGACACGAGTAGAGGAAGCGACGGGCACTACGCCACAAGAGGAGGGTAATAAGTAGTGTGTCAGCTTCCTCGAAGCTGGTATGAGGGCGCAGCCCCCTGCAGCATCTAGGGTCTGTTTCATTACCATTGCGGCCATTGTTGTTAGTTTCAAAGCAGTTAGCTAGCAGTTCAGGTTGCACCCACCCCGTATCCTGCGCCACAGAAAGGGTAAACCGGAGACACTAATTGAGGTTACCTACAAAAGTTGAAAATGTCTTCGTGTGGGAATGGGGGGGAATGCGAGCCATGATTTAACAGAGACCTCGTGGAATAGTACATCGCGCCGTGCAGCGTGGCACTGCGGTGTCAAATCTGACCAAATTCGTGATAACAGCTGCTAATGGAAGCAGATTCGCGCAGAACCAGCCCTGTATAACTGTATTTAACCTAACCAACGTAACCGCGCTGCATGGCCAACGCAGGGAATAAATCTTGGTTTTCACTGCAAGGCTTTTCACCCCCGAACACGAGCACACCACGGGCATGAGTGTCCGTGTGTCTTTTAAATAGTACACATAACACCTCCTAAATTGTATAACGCACCCTAGATGACTGTTATCAGCAGCAAGCGTGAAACAGGAAAATTATAACGATGCCTTTGACTGATAGGTGGACCTTGGCCACGGTGCCGCCACCGTTGTTAACGATTCACATTACGGCATCTCTAGGGTGCATAGCCAAAGCGATAGGCGTCCGAGCCATTGTGAACCACGTAATGGGCCACTATTGGGGCGCCTTAGCTAAACAAGCAAGTGTTTATCGCAACAAAAATCCTTGCCAACCTACAGAAAAAAAGATATCTTGATAAAGCTATGTTATATGAGGCTTCCATAAAATAATGTAACTCGATCATTTTTTTTGCCGACATACGCAGGCAGGCGGGCGCGCACCAGGCCCAGGACTCTCCGGCCCCCTTCACGGCGGGGTATGTGTGCCGAAAACGCAAATAGCAGCAATCTCTCCGAACAGGACAACGGCAAGAAGGGAGGATGAGGAAAGGACAAGCCAGAAACGAAGGAAGCGTTGGCTTGAGGTAGCTATAACAAAAGCGGTAATAAGACAGATACCGCACATATCAAAAAAGGCCTCAGCACACAGCAGCAAGCCTAAGCGACACACCAGCTAGAAGCGGCACGAACCCCGCAGAAAACGCGACCCTTGCATAGTGCAACCTCGGCAGAAGAGGACCGCGGTATGACAGGACCGACGGAGGGTGCTAATGCACATCTCAACAAGGAAGGAACCACGACCCAAAAGCGCATGCGAAGGCACCCTCGTCACTCCAGTCCATTTTGGTGGCATTGGTTACACAAGGCACCTAATGCCGGCGGCACAGCAAAGCGCAGGTTTTGGTTCGTGAAGGTGCTTTGCACGGCAGCAGGCTAGATGGCCAGTTCACGTCGCCGCGGCACCAGGCCGTCTTGCTGCTGCTGCGGCGGCGGCGGTGCAATTGCTGCCATGGCCTCTACCAGGCCAAGCTCCAGGCCCAGGCTCGCAGGTGTCTGCTGGGCCACCGCCAGGACGGCCATCAGCTGCTGCTGCTGCTGCTGCAGAGTGACAAACTCCTGCTGCAGAGCCGCCTGCTGCTGCACGGCCATAAGATGCTCCTGTAGCAGCGCCTCCTGTTGCACCGCAATAAACTGTTGCTCTAGGAGATCCACGGCCGCCGCATCGTCGGGCCTGGTGGCGGTAGCAGCCAGCGGTGCGAGGCCGTACTGCTCCAGGAGGCCTAACGGCACGCTAGCCGCAGCCCCCGCAAGATCCAGCAGCGACGCCGCATTGGCGACCTGCTGAAAGCCGAGAGCGTCTTGGGTTGGAAGGACGACGAAGAGCCCGTTACCGCCCGCGATACGGCCATCTCTGCCGCCTTCGCCGCTGTTCAGCGCCCGGTACTGCGGCCCATCCGCCGCCCTGGCACGCGGCAACCAAAATCCGCTACCGGCAGCGGCGCCGCCGGGCCCCACAGCAGCCAGGTTGCCGCGACGGGCCAGCGCCAACAGGCGCGCAGCGGAGACACTGGTGTCCGGGTGACCGGGGCCGTCGGCGGTGTCGGCATTAATGATGGCTGCGGCCGTAGCCACGTCTTCCATTACCGTGGCGCGCAGGATTACGTCATGCGCCCACAGCGCAGCTTTTTGACCGGCGTTCATGCGGACGTATCTGCGATTATTGGTTTTCCCAGGGAGGATGGAGTCAGCCACAGTATGGGGAAATGGCGAGTGCCAAGGTCGTACGTGTGGATTTCGTGTATGGCGTGTAATGAATCTAGGAAGGAGCGGTGGTCTCTGTGACCATCCAGTAATACATACATCCATTCATACATGTGAGTACATATATGCATAGACTGGTCCACTACGGCTTATCATGTTTCCTCAACCGAAACACAGCACCCCTAATCACGGGAAAAACCCGCACACCCGAAAACCCCAACGAACGCAGATGATGAAAACCGCGAAGGGAACTCATATGTGCAGGTCTCATGGAAACAGGGCCCAAGTGGCCGTGGGATTCTCGCAAAGGAAGCAGCGTAGCAGGCTGGGAATTGAGCTAGCTGCATGTATGTAGCCCTTCGCACCTCGCCGCCAGCTCCTCATTGTAGTAAATGTTGTTGGGGTTGAGCATGTTTGACAGGTTGAGCATTGGCTCGGGTGGGTATCCATCGTTGTGGACGACGCGTACCAAGAAGGCGGCCGAAATGAACCCTAATGGATCTTCAGCTTGGCTGCGCGTTACAGGGCCGAGGGCGGAACGGCGGGTCTTAGAGAAAACTCTACAAAATCCAGATTCCACGAGTTTGAACGAGACTGGCAAACCGTTTGAAATGCCTCTACAAACAGGATCAAAGAAACGGACGTGCTGGAAATGGATATTAAAACGGGCCAGCGCCCCGACCGAAGGTACGGCGTGCATATGCAGTACATACAGATCAGCAGTACAGGAAGGCAGCTTTGCCGGGGCTTGGCCCTTGGCGGGTGTTGCAACGGCGGCCTAACCAAGGGACAGCTGTACGAAGACCAAAGGGTGCCTGATGAGAGACAGAGACCCAACCCACGTTCGATCCCGCGTACATGCTTTGAACGAACCCCACGTCGTGAGAGCGAAAATAAAATCACGGGCAGGCGGGAGCCCCTGGATTCCGAGCACCATCTGTGGACGTTTTTGGTTGTCTTCAAATCTCATCCTGGTATAACAGAACGGACGGTCCAGATCTAATGTACCAAGGCGCGATTCACAGACGATCAAACATTTTACAGACGTCTGCCCTGTCCATCTTGCAGTCACTGCTGGCTTGTTCCGTACCCGTGTACTGCAATCGCCATCCAACCAGCCCGTAGTCAGAGGCCGTTGTCGGCTTGTCGGCTTGTCTTTGCAACCTCACCTGCCCCGGGAGTTGACCCCGGCCCTGCCCGAATCGGCAGATACCAGTGTGAGCTCCTCCTGGTATCGGACAATCAGTCGCTTCTCACCGGAGAGAGCGGGTTCGCATTGACCGTCAAGACCCATCCGGGCGGCAACGGCGTGCTGGTAGCGGCCGCAAAAATAGAAAACATGTAAAGGACATGAATCAGGAGGGCGAGTTAGAGACTGAAATAAATAGCATATGTCCTTTTGGCCTTATACTGCAGGACCAAATTGTAACGTAACAGCTACACAGAGCATTTACGAAGAGCTCACTAACGCACGTTGGGGCATTCCAACACCAGGCATAAAGCAAAGGTTGCATAACACATCATACACATCAGAACAAGAGGAAAGCGCAATACTGAGCCAAAAGTCCGAACGGACTTCAAAAGCGAGAACGCGGAAGACGACATTGAGCTCAACACCAAGATTTAGAAAGAAAATGGGCAGCAGGGTGTCGGCGCCGCCTGCGGACTGATCTTTTGGTAGTTGGCCACCGAAAAGGCCTCTCGAGATGCTGGGGGGGATGGGATGATGTGCACTTTTAACGCGCGTACATGTGTTAATGGTGTATGCCGTACCGTGCGAAGACCGCCACACAGATATTATCTCTTGCGAGGGGGGCACGCGAAGGAGGCCCGTCAGCCGCTGCACATCACTTAGCCCAACTAGCAGCACGTCATGACCTCCATTACTACCATCATCAGCGGTGCTCAATAGCGGCAATCCGGCAACCGGCCTACCTGGAGCTCCAGGTAGTTGACGAAGGCGAATGTCTTGCCGGGAAACACGCGGACGGACTCCAGGGGCCCGAAGCGCCTGCGAGCGAGTAGTGCAAGTGTGTGGAGGGAGGGAGGGAAGGATGTGGGAAAGGGGGAAGGATGCGGATAGGTTAGGGTTTGGGGCAGTGTGGAGCAGATGGAGAGAGAGAGGGGGAGGGGGAGGGAAAGAAGGATGTGCCAATAATGACGTGTGAATAGAGCCTAGGGGAGAGGCATTAAGTAAGCGAGAAGAGACCGACGCTCAGTTGATGTTGATGGGGGGGTAACATTAGTGTCCGCAGACGGAGAAGAGAGGGACCGTCCGAACTGACATTCGACCGTGGCCATTCTCTCTCATCACCCAAACTCACCCAAACAAACGCTCGATTTCGGGCTTATCGGACTCGGCAGGCACGTTACCCAGCCACAAATGCCGGCTGGGCCTGCCCTCGCGACGTATGCCCTGGCGGCCATCGGCCCGACCGTTGCTGCCAATGCCGCCACCGATGCCGCGATTGGCAACGATGGCTGCGGCGGCGGCAGCGGCGCCTCCACCACCGCCGCCAACGGCGAAGCCGCCTTCTCCTCCCCACGGCAACGGCAAGCGATACATCCCGCCTATCTGCTGTCCGTCGCACGCAGCCTCCTAGTTAAAACCAGATGCTGTTAAGGATAACTTATGGACATGATGTCATATTAAACGAAGGTCCCAATGTCGCACTATGTGAGTGTGGCTTATGTATGTCGCGACACCGATAAGGCGAGGTGCGAGGTAGTGATTGGGGACCCTTCAGCACTCGGGCGCCGGGCATTAGGTGCTTTTTCGGAAAGGTTGTTGAAAAAATTGCAACAGCTGCCAAACAAGCGCATGGAGCGATGAGTTATTTTGTAACGTAAGAAGGTGGGTAGAGGTCCATAATGTTTAACCCGGCAACGAGTATTATTTGTATGTTGTTGAACATTCCACCTGGCCACGACAGCAGCACGCGTTATTCGTTGCCTGTCGGCAATACTTGACGTCTCCTTCGACAGCAGCATTTACACTTGGGCTCCACAGACAAGTAACGCACGCGCGCATCAGATCTCATGGGGTCAGATCTGTCCTGACACCAGTACGTACGCATATGTATGTATGTCCAGTCGATTGCCGCGAACCAAGCAGCGTGCCGGGCAGTGCCCTTACCAGCCGGGAATGATCCACCTTCGCACACACAGACTTGGAATGTGTCTATGGGATAACGCATCAGCCCACAAGCCAGCCAGACGCGGCTTTTTACCACAACGACGACCGAACCTACCTCCTGCAGAAGCTGCAGCTACCAGGCAGGCTTGAGATGCTGGCCGGCCGTTACGCCTGCGGACGCGAACCACTGCGCGTGGACGGGCCGACAAGCCGGTCGGAGTGCTCAGGCAAGACCGGGTTGCGGACAGATAAAACAACAGTGATCGCGAGTCGCAGCTCGTCATGGCAGGACGGGGATCATGACTGGATGCGGCACCGAGGCGATGAACCGGCTTACCGCTTCACCAAGGAAGGACAGAATGAAGCTTTCGCGCTTCAGCCCAACGCTTATGACGAGGTAGAGATGTTGCGCTCTGTATCCGAGTGTTCCTTTCCCGCGGTCGGTGGTGGTCGGAAGGAATGGGCGTTTGTCTGGAGCGCTCGGGCTTTTAATGCGATAAGGTTCTTGGAACAGATCAGCTGATTTGGGCCTTGCTCGGCCGCAATCTCCTTGGCTCCTGTTGTAACTTGGACATTCACACAGGTTCATACGCTGCACTATCTAATGAGTTTGTTCTTCCTATTACTGTCTTCCTAAATTCTTTTGCGATTGGCGCGACGGCTCGTCTGAACGGACGGCAGATTTGAAAAGTACGTTTGATAGGGACGCAGCAATCCATTTCGAATCATACAGCACCTTTGTATTATGAACGTGGCAATAGATATTTGTCCCAGGCTCCGGCATCGGGTGGGTGCGTGGAGAGCTCGAACATATCGGCGCACAACTGCTGGCCTTCAAAAGCGTCATATTTTGCTCCATTAGACCACAGAAAATGTATCTCGAAGTAACATGAATACATAATTGCAGGCTAAAATCGGAATCAGCTATCATACCATGACAGAAGTCCTACGGAGACCAGCCTTGGCCGCAGGATGGTCTTGGCGGATATATGCAGAGCACGGCAACTAAATTAATACGTATCATATTAACATCATGGTGCTTACCTGTTATCTTAGCGTATTGACAGCCACGCGGGCCTTGGGCCAGTCAAGTTGGCTCGGCCCCGTTGGCAGTCGCGCACGATTTAGTTTTCTGAAAAGATCAGACATTCAGACACATTAAATGAAGGAGAAAATGGATCAAGCAGCCTCCAGTCCGCACTCTCCATATCGTAAACCTCTTACTTTGACCGCTTGGTGTCTTGCGCATGACTGGCTGGCAATCCGCCATGGCCCTGCCCTCTCCTTCCACGGCCTTCCCCCAGCACGCCATTGCCTCAAAGCTCTTGACGACAGATTTTTTACGGCCAGCCGAAGCCAACAGAAACAAAGCACATGGTGATCCGCCACTAAATCATTTTAATGTTACCCCTCCAAAGCGGGCGCGGTGGGGTCGGTCCAGGAACAGCGCGCTGATGCAAGGATGGAGCGGCGGCCTTACCTTGCCGCGGTGATTTGCTCGTACCTACCGTACAAACCAGGAAGCTCACGGCGGCGGCGGCACCAAAGCTGGCGGGTCCGTTAGCACGGCCAGGTGCAGCCAAAATAGCCGCCAACGCTGCCGCCGCCGCCGCCGCCACTGCCACCGTCGCCGCTGTCGCCATCCTCGCCACCATTTGCTGTCCTCCCTGCCGTCGGCGGCGGCCAAAAGTGATAGCGCCCGCAATATCTTGCAATTAAGTGGCGACGACTTCTGAATGGTATAACGCCAGCGCGACGGCGAATAAGGCCGATGATCACCTTAAAAGGACCTGTGGCCAGATAGTAAAGCTCAGAAATACTCTGGCCTCTCATGTACATGAGTGAGTGATCTGACACGGATTTCCCACGCTTCGAGCATACGAAGGACGCTATGAAGTGGGAACCTGAACGCTTGGCAAGGATGCTGGAACGTATATGGTCCCACCGCAACTCTATCGTTCCCTTTGGTCGTTAGTTTTGTTTATCACTTTGTTTGAAGTGCGAGGTAGGATGGTGCTTATAGGCAATCTGGCAGCCCTTGAGCCTCGGCTCGTATTAGGGCGGTTTGCAGGTACGGGGAACACACCCATGACCATGTATAACACACACACATATGAGTGAGCACGCGTGGTCGGCTCGCGGCTGGCATGACCTCCTCTTTTTATCCCCAATCCCTGGACCCCCTCCCCTCCCCTTCCCTCCCGTCCCTTGTTGCTCCAGTATGTTGCTATTACTTGCCTTGTATCTGTCCGTACAACTCATTCGCATGCTTGTCACAGAACCATTTAGACATGTAGGAAGCTACCGTACGTAATTCGGTACAAGCCTCTTATCTCTCACTCCACCCCTCTTACACACAATTTTCTCCTCCGTGTCTCGTAGCACGTTCACCACGTGTCCACCCATATATGTGATACAGGTCGGTCCGCTATTTTCTCCTTAAGCGCAAAGCTGGACAAAATGAAGCTGTTTGCCCCCGACGTGCGAATGCGGTGCTTTGCAACCCAAGTCCGAGCAATTCTGTTGTATGGCTGCCAGGCGTGGGGCCCTTTTGCGCTGGCAGAGGTCGTGGACAGGGCGGGAAGACGGCGGGATAAAGCCAACCTTGCGGAGGGCATGTTCGAAGCCTGTTTGAAGGACAGCGCAGTCCATCTGCAGATTTTATTCATGAGGCAGGTAGTGGGGACGGCACGGCCATCCCACAGGCTGTTGTATGCGTAGCTGGCTGAACTTCCCTTACAGTATTACATGGTGAAACAGATCCTCCGTTTCTGGAACCGCCTTCAAAAGCAAGTGGGGTCCATTGCCCATGCAGTTTTACGGCAGAGATAACCGATGCCCTGACCAACCCGGAATGGGAGGGTTGGGGAACCTCAATGCTACGACTGTTTTCCTTCTTGGAGTGCAATATTTGGAGCGGAATACCGCAAGAAGTCATGGGGGTAAAGGAGCGTGTTGACTGGTTATTGAGTAGGCCTCTACCCGAAGGAGCGATGATAACGGCACTAAGAGAGTGTTTGATGAGCGGCTGGGACCATACGCATCTGACTGTCTTGCCAGAGGAGTACCCATCAGATGGAAAGCAACCGGGAGTGCAAATGGCGACTGGATGGGGCTGCCCTTGTCATGTGGCCAACACGTGCTAAGGTTTTCCTCGTTTAGCACATCGTAAGCTAATGCAGTTTCGTTTATGTTGCTGGGCTCTGGAGGCAAACAGAGCACGAAGGGGCAAGTACCATGTCCCCAGGGGTCAGCGGTTTTGCCGCTGTTGTGGTACTAATAGCCGAATCGAGGATGAAAACACGTGTTATTGGAATGCCCAGCCTATCATGATATTTGTGCTGAAGAGGGATTCGATCATCAACAGAGCATGTTGGAGGCCATGAAATGGGAACCAGTACGTCTGGCGAGGATGTTGGAACGTATGTGGGCTCACCGAAACTCAGTTACCCCTTTTGGACGCTAGTCTGGGCTGATGTGCGGTGTTTCCTTTTCTGCGTAGCTTTTAGGCGTTGTAGTATTGCCCTTGGGCCTTCGGCTCGTATGGGTAATTTTACAGGTATGGGGTCACGCACCCCCAACCATGTATAACACACACACACATATGTGCCAGCGCTCCGCCCTCCTCCATCCTCCTCCACCCTCCTCCGCTTGCCTGTCTATCCTGCTCGCTGCTCTATCTCTCCGTGCGCATGACGTTCACCGCGACAGCAAATAAAGCCTCCTACCTCTCGCCACATGTCCGCCAGGGTTGCCTGGGTTGTGGGTCTGATGGGCGAAGACGTCCGGATCGTTGCGGCCGAAGTAGTGCGCACGTGGGGACGTAGGAGAGCGAAGTTGTGGAGGACATGTCGCGCGTCCTTAGCGTCCACCCGTATGGTGCCCCTCGGAGGCTCGGGGCTTAGCTTGATATAAGGGCGGCCGGCATTCTGCTGAATTGCTGTTTAGGTTCTGGAGCTATATATCTAGTCAAATTGTGGATTATAATGTTTTTCTTTATCATTAAGTGTTAACTACAACGAGTAGTATGCCTGCTGCTGCTGGTGGCCAACTGTGCGCCGGTAACGGCTGTTCAATTGCCCTGCAGCCCTGCCGTATCCTTAGCGGCTGTTCCTATGGCGGATGTTACCAATACATGTTTACGTGTCCTATTAATACATGTTCATGCTCTACGCATCTTTAACTCTTGATTCCTTGGGCCCCGCCCGACCAAGCGGCGACCTAATCCCACAGCATATGCCGTTGCCGCCGCCAATGGCCAGACAAAACTCTTGACGGCCAGCCAGGCCCACGCACGCACGCACGCACCCTCATTCAACATCAGAAATTAAATCTGTACTGATTCAATGCAAGACGTATGCACCAACGCTAACCGCCAACGTGTGGGGTTCCCGCAGGTCTGGGAGTGTGTGACACCACGGGGTGCGAGATCGCAAGCCCTACCCAGCTTGCAGCCGTGCACGTAACAGGGGCCCGGTCCTTTCACACACATACAACTTGCATGCGGCAGGTCTGGGAAAAAATCAAGGTGTGAATCGAGCAACATGCTGCTGGCAGTGCGGCATCTTTGTTGAGGTCCTCCGCGCTGCCAGCAGTTTCCTAACCACCGGACGAACAACAATGATTGCCCTCTGCGCTTGCTTTCTCAGGCGGGGTCCGCTTCGGTTGCACAGCCGGGAGCAACTTGCACAGCAGCTAGATAATAATCGGATGGGAAATAAACAATCGGGATTACAGATGGTGAAATATAAGCGCTGGATGGGGCCAGCCAACATTGCTAGCAGCAGGAGCCATGCATGCCATCGAACCGCCCGTGTTTGAACGCCCAGCTTCACACATCACGACACATTAGCTGTTTATATAACTAGGATTGACACGTGGTTAGAGGAGGTCAAAATCATGCGTTTAGTTAGCGGAGCTTCTAGTATTGATAAATTGAAAAGTGCACGAAGCTGCTGAGAAAGTTAGATATCGACTTCGGCTCGTATGGGTAGTTTTACAGGTATGGGGTCACGCACCCCCAACCATGTAACAAACACACACACGCAGATATCGACAGCGATATCGACAGTCTACGGCTCATGAGTGGTATAGCTGAGCTATGGGACAGCGTCCCAAGTTTCTCCTAAATAACCTGATAGCAACCGACGTCCGACTGGAGATTGTGAAGGGGTTGGGAAGGTTGGTGCAGGCACACATACGCGTTGGTTGGTGTTAAGGCGGGCCTGATGAGGCATGTACACGGCATGGTGACGGATTGCGGTGTTCATTCCGAACGTTAAGCAAGAAGAAAATTACAAGAAAAAAATTTTCGTGTTATTTTGACTAATTTATACACTTATGAAGATGTTTGGCAAACATCAAGCTTCAGAACTGAACGGCAACTCGTCGATCGACGGTTTAATAAGCGGTCCTTCACTTAATTTTCTGATGACACATTCTGACGACAATTTCAGACATGGACGACTAGTATGAAAATGAAACCGCTATGTTGTGTCCTACGCAAAGAAAAAGAGGTTCGAGCGGTTGTCAAGGTTAGTTGGAGAAGGTTGCTGGTTTCTCAGCATCCATCTCTGCAACTTCCGAATCGCTCAGGTCCCAGAAGGCGCTGTCGACATCCACAGCCAATATTTCAGCCTGTAATACCGCATGCACCAAAACAAGTGGTGCATTACCCGTACGCAGCAAAAAGATGCACACACACACACACACACACACACACACACACACACACACACACACACACACACACACACACACACACACACAGTGCGTAATAGACTACCATTACTGACAAGACACATACCCCAGACATCACGGCACGTGTATGACGGACATGCCCCCGTGCGTGTATGTGCATTACGGACCCCGCATGCCGGAACCGCAACAGAGCGCGCAATCTCCGCAGCCGTGGTAGAACGCCAGGCTGTCACGCCATATGACGTGCTAACAGACATAAGAAATGCGGATGGATCAGGCCTCGCAACCCTGCAATCAACTATGCAGGGCTCTACGCAAGTCCACGAGAATCCAATAGGGAAGCCTCCGCAAGCAGACCGCCTGAGTAATCCGTACATGGCACCAGGATGAAGAGGCGATGATGGTGGATCTAAACAAGCCACTTCTTTCGCTGCACTTTACCACCTGCCATCGCATCTTCCTGCGCACAGATTGCAACACAAAACGCCGAACAACGTTTCTCTCGCTCCGAGCCGCATAATCGCCACATCCACACGGGTCCCAAAACCTCTCCCGGCCCCCAACTCACCATCTACCTGAACCCCAAACTCATCACCAACACCATCTAGGCCCAAGCAAAGCTCTCAACCTGTCCAGGCCATAAGCGCATCATCAATCCAAGCCCAATACACACCATCCTCTTCAGGGCTAAACCTCGTCATGTACCCAGGCCCATAGCCCATAGCCCATAGCCCATAGCCCCTATCATATATCCGGAGTGCAGCAACGTTGCAAGAAAATAGACACGTAGGATACCGAACCGCTTTAAAGCAGCCTCACGCATCCGCACATATCTTGACACCTTCGTACACCTTCGGGCCAACGACTTCAAATACCAGAGCAATCAACCAGACCCACTCTTAGCCTGCGTAGGGTACGGCACCTCCTCGATCACGTCCACCTACTGGCACGCGAAGTTGGGGGCGCGGAGAAAACCTCGGCATTAACGCTAGCCTTGCTAGTGCCTTGTCATTCTTGTCATTCAAAGCATGAGCCACAAAGGCGGCCCTGCCGGCTTTTGTGCACCTCAAACGTGTTTTGGTGCGGGTGGTAGCTGTGCCCACATGGTACACCTGAGCAGCATGGCGTAAAAGGCATATTTCTCAACGACGTGTTCGGGGTGAGTAGGGTACCGTGGTGGTGGTGCACCGCTGCCCTGTGACCGGGGAATTGCCGCAGAGGATCAGCCACATTGAAATAGCGGCACGATCGTAGGTGATGCCTAATCAGGAAAGGGGATTGTGGGCGGGAAAAGAGCATGGGGGAATGCGATTGGCGGTGATGCGATGGGTTGATACGATGCATGGTGATGCAGGCGTGAGTGAGTGGCACAGGCTGTGAGAGACGTGCATGACAAAGCGAGCCCAAGCAGAGGAGGAGAGTCCTTCCGAATGGTTGTGACGCGGGCCAGCGGTCGAGCCCGACTAGCTAGGGTGCTGCGGTCAGGCATTTCATCTCGCGCATCCTCACCGTCGGCAGCGGTAACGGGATTCAGCATCAGACGTCCCGTCAAAGGGCACAAGAAGTTGTCTAGGGGGTGCTTATTGGCCAGCCGTGCCCGGGAGCGCGACGGTGCGACCACGCCCGCAGTGGCGCCGAACGACGCCGATGCCGCGCCTCCGGCGCTGCTTGCAAGACCCTGGAGGCCACCCACAAGCGCAGCCGTCGTTGCCGGGTGCATGAAAGCGTTAAGACCAGAGGCCCCGTTGAGGCTGGGTTCGGGAACGGACGGTGAACAGCCGAGATTCGTCGAAGGAGCACCTTGTGCAGTGTACTGCACAGACATTCGCGCCGCCGCAACGCTATGGAGAATGCCCAGGCTGCCTGCAGAAGCAGCGGCATCGGCGCCTGCTGAAGTGGAGGCTCCGCTTGGAAGCGCCGCAAGCTCTCGCAGCTGCTGCAGCTGCTGCTGCTGCTGCTGCTGCTGCTGCAAGGAAGCAGCTTGGAGCTGCTCCTGCAGTGCCTGTACAGCTGCCTCGTCGTCAAGCCGTCCAACTGCGGCCGCCACAGTAGTACCGTAATCCCCGAGCTGGGCTCCTGTGGTCGTCCCCATGAGCGGCCAATGCAGCACCGAATCCGCTGGGGGCTGCGGTCTGCGCACCCCTGAAGTTGTCCAGACCGGGGACAACCCGTTTTGGCCGCCGCCATAGCCGCTTCCGGCTGCCGAGGCCGCAGCGGTGACGGCGGGAACACCGCAGCCGGACCAAACGTCGCCATGGCTGTACGCCGCCAGATCATTCAAAGAAACCGCCGATCTAAAGCGCTGCGTAAAAATGGAGCTTCCGACGTCGCCATCTGGATTACGGAGCCCTGCCTGCTGGCCGCGGTTCCGGAGTTCATGTGATACTAGCAGCGCATTTCCGGTGGCGGCGGCCGCTGCCGTGCCATTGCGCCTGGCCTGCAGTACCACCGCCTCCCTAAGCGCAGGTTGAAGTGGCTGCAGCAGCGGGTACTGCATTGCCACCGTGCCATTAAGCCCTGCAGCGGCAGCCGTCACCGCCGGCACTGCAGCGGTGCCTTGCGTCCGCAGCTGGTTTCGCAACGTGCTGTTAAAAACGCTGTGGCCACCGCCGTGGTTGAAGCCGCTCAGCGCTGCAGCGGCAGCGGCGGCCCCGCTGCCGCCAAGACTGCCCCCAAGCTTGCTTGTCGCCACAGGATACGGCGAAGGTGTGGGCATGATTTTTGGCATACTAAGCTCTCTACCCGCGCGGCCGTGTGGGCCGAGGTCCAGGTGACTGGGCCCGAACGGTTGTGCATTACCGGCGGCTGCGGCTGCGGCTGCGGCTGCGGCTGCGGCTGCGGCTGCGGCTGCGGCTGCGGCTGCGGCTGCGGCTGCGGCT